CAGCATACTGATGGGTTTTAGTTTTTTATTCAAATTGGCTGTCTGTCTTTGGATTGGGGGATTTAGTCGATTTAAATTTAGAATTAATAATGACATATGTGAGTTTAATACTGCCATTTAATATTAGCTGGCTATTTTGCCCATTAGTTGATGTAAATTCTTCATTTTATTGATGCTCTTTTTAGTATTTTTTAGAAAGGCTGATAATGTTTGTTCCTTTCTATGTGTAGTGATTCTTTCAGAAGCTCTTGTAAAGCAGGTCTGTTGGTGATGAAATCTCTGAGTCCTTGTTTATTCAGAAAAAACTTTATTTTTCCTTCACTTATGAAGCTTAGTTTGGCTGGATGTGAAATTCTTGGTTGAAAGTTCTTTTCTTTAAGGATGTTGAATATTGGTCCTCACTCTCTTCTGGCTTGTAGGGTTTCTGCTGAGAGATCTGCTGTGAGTCTGATAGGCTTCCCTTTGTGGGTAACCTGACCTTTCTCTCTGGCTGCCCTTAGTGTTTTCTCCTTCATTTCAACCCTGGTGAATCTGACGATTATGTGCCTTGGAGTTGCTCTTCTTGAGGAATATCTTTGTGGTGTTCTCTGTATTACCTGGAATTGAATATTATCCTGCCTTACTAGGTTGGAAAATTTTTCCTGAATAATATCCTGAAGCGTATTTTCCAGCTTGGATTCATTCTCTTCGTCACATTCAGGTACACCTATCAAGCGTAGATTAGGTCTTTTCACATAGTCCCATAATTCTTGAAGACTTTGCTTGTTCGTTTTTATCCTTTTTTCTCTAATCTTGTCTTCTTGTTTTATGTCATTGAGTTGGTCTTTGACCTCTGATATCCTTTCTTCTGCTTGATCAATTCAGCTGTTAAAACTTGTGCATACTTCACGTAGTTCTCATATTGTGTTTTTCAGCTCCATCAATTCACTTATATTCCTGTCTGAATTGTGTATTCTTGTTAACATTTCGTCAAACCTTTTTTTAAAGTTCTTTGTTTCTTTAGATTGAGTTAGAACAAGTTCTTTTAATTCACAGAAGTTTCTTATTATCCACATTTTGAAGCCTGCTTCTGTAATTGGAACACACTTGTTCTCCATCAAGCCTTGTTCCGTTGCTGATGAGGAACTGGGATCCCCTGCTGAGGGAGAGGTATTCTGATCTTGGGTATTCTTAGCCTTTTTTTGGCTGTTTTCTTCCCTTTGTTATAAATTTATCTATCTGTGGTCTTTGTATTTACCATCTTTGTAATTGGGTTTCTGAGTGGACGTCCAACTTACCGATACTCAGCGCCGAAATCTGAGCAACCCACTGCGCCTACTCAATCAGCGGCGTTAAGATTGATGGTGCTTTTCTGACTCTGCACCAAGAACCGACCCTCCGAGGCACTGGCTAAACCGCCTCGCCGGTCACAAGAGTCGCGCTGGCCACCCGTGGGGCTCCTCCGCTGGGAATCTCCTGGTGCGTGAGCAACAAGAATTCATGTGAAGGTATGACGTCCTCTCGTTCTTTGCGCTTTCACTGGGAGCTACAATCCCGAGCTGCTAGTGATCAGCCATCTTGGATCTCTCCTCTTTTTTTTTTTTTTTTTTTTGTTTGTTTGTTTGTTAGTTTTCTAAGACAGAGTCTCACTCTGTTGCCCAGGCTGGAGTGCAGTGGCTCAATCTTGGCTCACTATAACTCCACCTCCTGAGCTCAAGCAATTCTTCTGCCTCAGCCTCCCAAGTAGCTGGGACTATAGGCTTGCACCACCATGCCCAGCTAATTTTTTGTATTTTTAGCAGAAACAGGGTTTCACCATATTGGCCAGGCTGGTTTTGAACTCCTGATCTCAGGTGAGCCGCCCATCTCAGACTCCCAGAGTGCTGGGATTACAGGTGTGAGCCACTGCCCTGGTTTGCACATCTTTTCAAGTGCACGCTTACCAAGGTAGAGCATATTCTGAACCATAAAACAAGTTTCAGTAAATTTTAAAAGATTCAAGACATACAAAGCATGTCTTCTGACTACAGTGGCACTAAATTAAAATTTCAGCCTGGGCAACATGGCAAAACCCATCTCTTCAAAAAATAGGAAAAATAATTAGCCAGGTTGGTGGCGTTTGCCTATACTCCCAGCTACTCGGGAGGCTGAGCTGAGAGGATCACCTGAGCCCAGGGAATTTGAGACGGCAGTGCACTGTGATTGCACGACTGCAGTCCAGCCTCAGTGATGAGTGAGACTCAAAACAAAAACAAACCAAATTAATGCATGCAGGACATTTTTATAAAATAAATACAATTAATTAAAATTAATAACAGAAAGAGGCCTTTTGGAGGCTGAAGTGGGAAGATCACTTGAGGCCAAGAGTTCAAGATCAGCCTGGGTAACACAGCAAGACCATCTCTCAAAAACATTTTAAAAAAAATTACTGAGGCCTGGTGGCCTATGGCTGTAGGCCTTGCTAGCTGGGAGGCTGACCTGGAGGGTCATTTGAGCCCAAGAGTTAAAGTCCAGCCAAGACAACAGCAAAACACCATTTCTTTAAAAGAAAAAAAGTAAGCAAAAGAAAGGAAACAATAATAATCATCCGAGTGAAAAATAAAAGAAAAAGAAAACAAAAAATTAGATAAAATTGATGCAACTAAAAACAGTAAAAGATCAATAAAATTAGTAAACCTTTAGCCAAAGTGATCAGAACATCTGCACTCACTGTGGTGCATTTTTTATTTATGGTAACATTAAAAAAACCCTCCCTCACAGCTGTCTACTTACTTATGCTGAAAAGGTTTTTCTGCAGCTTCAGTGAATCTTCCATTTATAACAAAAGCTGAGCAAAATAGAATCGCTTCTGTCCTTGGGCTAGCTAGTCAGAGTAGATTGGATAGGGGCCTTTGAGTGCAATCCTCACTTTTAAAAGCCCAGAATCTCAATACTTGCACACGGTTCCATTACTTAGCTATAAAGTAATTATTGAGTTATGTTTTCAATTATGTGAAAAGTTAATGTCACAATAAAGCATTTTTTAAAAATATACATGTAAATACATACAAAATATTAAAGCTAAACACTTAAATATGAGTTAACGAATATTTGTCATCCTTATGCAGTTAACACAGGAAGACCTAACATGAGTGAGTCGGCCGGGCGGGGTGGCTTACATCTAATCCCAACATTATGGGAGGCCAAGGTGGGCGGATCATGAGGTCAGGAGTTTGAGACCAGCTTGACCAACATAGTGAAACCCCATCTCTACTAAAAATACAAAAATTAGCCAGGCATGTGGTGCTTGCCTGTAATCCCAGCTACTCAGGAGGCTGAGGCAGGTGAATCGCTTGAACCCGGGAGGCAGAAGTTGCAATAAGCCAAGATCATGCCATTGCATTCCCGCCTGGGCGACAGAGCGAGATTCCGTCTCAAAAAAAAAAAAACGAGTGAATTGACTTGTTAATAAAAAGCTAAGGACAGATGTGTTTACAAAATAACTATTAGGAGTAATAGATGACAAAACTGTCTAGTTGAAAAAGTGTGTTTTTAAGGAATTACCAACACCTGTCTGGGTCCTGATGGCTCACGCCTTTAATCCCAGGCAATTTGAGAGGCCAAAGCAGGAGGATCGTTTGAGCCCAGGAGTTCAAGACCAGCCTGTACAACTTGGTGAGACACATACTGTCTCTATAAAAAATAAAACACTAGCTGGGTGTGGTGGCATCTGCCTGGGCTCAGGTGAACCTTCCACTCAGCTACAGGGAGGCTGAAGTGGGAGGATCACTTGAGCCCGGGAGATCGAGGCTGCAAACTTGCAAGTTGCACGCAGGCAGAGATGACAGAGCAACCCGACTCTCCGCGCCACTCGCCCTGCCCGCACACCTGCCACGCCGGCCCCGGCGCCACTGCCTGAGCGCCCACGTCAGGCAGTCCGCACAGCAGCGGCACCAGGGTGGGAACCGGCTGCTGAATACCGTCGCAGTTACCACGAAGACCCCTCCCGCGCGGGCCCTGCGCTCTTGGAGGAGGGCAAGGCAGAGCAGACCCTTAGGTGGGCGGGTGATGCACTTGACCCTGAGGACTTCAGGTACCAGACCCGCCAGCCGCCAGACATGCCTTGCGGACTGCAAGAGGCTGGACAGCCCAGACCAGGCCCAACCCTCCAGCAGCGCGGATCCTGGGTCTAGACGCACAGGAGACAAAGTCAGGCGATCGGCCCGCCCCCAGCGGCTCAGTCTCATCCTGTGGATGCAGAGTGCTCAGCGCCAGGGCCCAGTATCCCGAGGGATGTCCAAGAGGAGCGGCCCTCAGGTCAGGCGGGCTGTGCACTCGGCGACCCTAACGCCATCCAAATGAAGCTCGCCATCCCCTGCCAGTGCCAGATGTGCAGCTGCAAACCGCGTCGGGCCAGGCTGCGCTGAGAGCGGGTGGGGGAAGGAGCGCCCTGACTCTCGGGCTACGTGATATTAGCCATACAGGCTCCAGGGCCAGAGCCTCAGTGCTGAAGCCCGGCATCGCGAAGCCACTCTGGTGGCCGCGGAGTGCCGGTGTCGGCACCTGCTCTCCTTTCCGAGGAGAAGCGGGCGGGGCGCACAGCCAGACAGGCCGTCCTCCTTAGGCAGGGCGGGAGGCGCGCCTGCGACCCTGCGCCTGAGATCCTGGGGTCGCCGGGGCGAGCGCGGGAGAACCCGCGAGCCCAGCGGCGCCCGCCCGGGGCTGCAGCCGCACCTGCCGTCGCGCGCCGCCTGCCTGGGAGCGGCTTCGGGGAGCCCAACGGCCACCGCGGTGCAGGCGCGCGCCCAACGGCTCTGCGAGGCTCACTCGGTCTGAGAGGCCGGAGGCTGCGGGTGTCGCTGCTGGAGGCTGTGGTGGACCGAGCTGGATCGCGGATTCTGCGCTAGACATTTGGGATCGCGGGCTGCGGGGTGGATCGGGGATTTGGGGCTGGGTCTGCGGTGGGGGTGGGGTCGGTGACGAGGTGACTCGGAGCTGCCCCAGCCGGGAGCGGGTGGTTGGGGGTCTGAGAAGTCACCACCATGAAGTTCTTCGGCTTCGGGGGCCGCAGGGCCCAGGTGGTCCAGGAGTCCATAGACCACGTCTACACGGGCTCTGGATACCGAATCCGGGACGCGGACCTGCGGAAGATCCACAGGGCGGCTGTCAAGGGCGACGCCGCGGAGGTGGAGCGCTGCCTGGCGCGCAGGAGCGGAGACCTGAACGCCCGGGACAAGCGGCACAGGTGCAGCCCGGGGTGGGAGGGGGTCCCCAGCAGCCCCCGGGACCGGGCCTTGGAGGGCGTCGGGCACACTCGGAGCCAAACGGAGGCTCAGCCGCTTTCCGTCCCTCATAATTCCCCGGCTGGAGCACTTGGTGGAGAATTTGATTTAACTCACAAAGTTAAGCGTGTACTGTGTTGTTATTGTTAACGCCCACGTTAGAAACACGGTGTTACATTATCAGAGATGCCGAATGACAGAACTCATTCCCCTATCAAAAATAGCATGAGTCATTTTCAGTAGGCGAAAAGTTCTCAGAGAAAACTGTCCGTTTTCCATCGGTTCCCACCTGTGTAGACAGGTCCTCTACTGAAGGTTCTTAGAGGGAAACTTGGAAGTGGGAGGTGGGTTCTGTGTTCTTGAATAGGAAGACACATTTTTCTCAAAGTGTTGATGTTTACCAATTTTACATAAACCGAACGAAAACATCAAGGTTTTAGCGTTTCTGCATGACACCTGCTGCCTTCTACTATTGTGATGACATTTTTAAAAAATTTCATAAGGAGTGAAAAAACACTTCCTCCTCTAGATATCAAAATGTGCTATTAACTTCTACAATTAATTGTTGACTAACAGCTGAAAAGACAGGTAAATACATGGAACAGAATAAGAAATTCGGAAACACTAAAATTATGTAAGATATATGTAAAGATTGATAATGTTAACAGTTATGAATAGGAAAGGATGAATTATTAATGAAAAAATGACTGCTGTTTGAGGAAAACTAATGAAATTTTATGTCACAAACGTGAGTTCCTGATGGACTACAGACTGAAATTTTTACATACACAAATGAGCAAAGTCCCAGAAGAAAACACAAATGCTTATTTTACAGGTACATTTTATGTCGACAAAGACCTTCCTAACAATGACCTCACGAGCAAGCTTCTGAAGGTTGATTTAGCAAACTCAAAATTAAAAGTGTGTCAGATAAAACTGTGTTTTACATCTCTTTTTTTCTGAAACATTTGTTTTTCAGAAAAAAAAGTAAGATAACATACTTGAAAAATATTTACTATGTTATATATATATTAAAAAGTTTAAAATGTATATATATATAAAAAAATTAAAAGTGTCTCAGATAAGACTGTTTTACATCCGTTTTTTTTCTGAAAAACATTTCTGTATTTCAGAAAAAAATTAAAATAAAAGATAACATACTTGAAAAATATTTACTATATGTATATATATATATATATTCAGATGAAAATATGTTTTTATTTTACAGGGAATTCTTTTTTTCTTTTTCTTTTTCTTTTTTTTTTTTTTCTTTTTGAGATGGAGTCTTGCTTCTTTGCCCAGGCTGGAGTGCAATGGCACAATCTTGGCTCAATGCAACCTCCACCTCCCAAATTCAAGCAGTTCTCCTACCTTACCCTCCCAAGTAGTTGAGATTACAGGCAAGTGCCAGCACACGCAGCTAATTTTTGTGTCTCTGGTAGAGACAGGATTTCATCATTTTGACCAGGCTGGTCTTGAACTCCTCGCCTCAAGTGATCTGCCTGCCTCAGCCTCCCAAAGTGCTGGGATTAGAGGTGTGAGCTACCGCGCCTGGCCTATATTCTTTATTATATATCATTATATATATATGTATGTATATATATAATATATATATTATGGATATGTATAACATATATTACAGATATATGTTATATATATCAGTTTTATATACACATTAGATGAAAAGTTATATGTATATATACACACATTATATGAAAACTACATCTTCATTTTACAGGGAATTCTTTCAAATCAAATCAAAAACTCTAAAAGTGGGGAAAGTATATTTGTGCAAATCTACAAGTTACTTATCTACATAGGAAAACATCCTTTGCATTTCTGATGTACCTATGCAACAATCTTGCACTTTCTTCACATGTGCCCCAAAACCTAAAATGCAATTAAAAATAAATAAATAAATAAAAGAGGACTGAAACTGTTTTCTAACCACAATATTTGTGAGGATCTTTTATACTGCCACTTAAAGTTTAAGTTACTGGTGACTTTTCAAATAGATAATTTGGTGGTAAGTACTACATTTTAAAAATGTGTGTACCCTTTACCCATCAACTCCATTATACTAAAATACCTTTAGGAAACAGAGATACATGCACTTTATTTTTCACAGCACTTATTTTAAAAGGAACCCATAGAATGCATCCTATAAATAAATTTCAGTTGCATAGGATGAAATAATATGTGACCATTAAAGGCGACAATAGATACAGAAGTACGTTGATGTGTGAACGTGTATTTTGTTGCAGCCAGCAAGAAAAAAAAAATAGTTTGATAATACATACACACAAACACACAATGGTCTTGTTTTAGCAAAAGATGTACAAAATATGATAAAATTTATAATTTCTGAGCATTTGTATTTTAAGCATTTGTAATTTCTGAGCATTCATATTTTAAAGTTTTTCCCCTTTTCTTATCTGTGATTTCTGCAATAAGCATGTGGAAAACTTCTAGTATTTATTAATGAAATAATCCCTGGGAAGAGAGAAATATGAATCTTGCACAGATAAAAATAACTTCTCACTTTCTATTTTTACCATTATTATTTTAGTGTGTGTTGTTATCTTCTTTAAACTTCTGGCCTCTTCAGAAGTAAAAAGGGAATGTTTTTATCTGTGTTTCCAGATTTTATTATGTACATATGTTTTATCATTCTATTTTGTTATGTACTTATGTTTTTCTTATATGTAGATTCATTCAATTTATACAAACAATGATAGATTAATCATTTCATTAAATAGTATTCTTTAAAAATAACAAATATAAATAATTACTATTACAAAAATATTGCTTTATAGGAGTTTATTTTAAAATACTGAGCTCCCTCCACTGTATTTATCCATTCTTTCATTTATTCATCAAACGTGATATTTAAAATGGGAATATTAGGACTTAATCTCATTGAAACTTTATCTCCCGCCTTTCAAATGAAAGCATTTCCAAAGTTAGAAAATACTAGAGGATAACCCTTGACTGCCCTTTCAAAAGCTGATCAGTCTTAAATACTAGTATTGGTCATTAGAAAGTCTTATTTGCTTATATTCTGTCAATATAAGTATTGAATAACATGAGCCATATTCACTTGAATCATGAGTTTCCTTTGGTTTCAAGTTTTTTGAAAATCAAATAATTTGTTTAAAAAATGTGTTACTGTTATTTCAGTGCTCTTTCCTTACAGTACTTTTAAGAACTAAAATGTATTTAAGTGCCAGTTATATGCCTAGAACTGCCCTAGATCTGCTGAGTATACCATATTCTGCTTAATGGAAGGTCTCATGGATTGTGTAATGCCCCATTATTTTATATATCAATAAGCTAATTTTTAAAATTCTACCAACTATAGTTATAATAAATCATGAATCATAAATGGCATTCCAATGTCAGAGGTGTTAAAAGGTGACCTACTCTTTAAGTCATCCTGCAAAGTGGTATAATTGTATCACTTTACTTAATTAAAATGTTTTTGTTATGTAGTAGAAATAATGATAATTATAATATCTGGCTGGGTGTAGTGACTCACACCTGTAATCCCGGAACTTTGGGAAGCTGAGGTGGGAGGATCACTTGATGCCAGAAGTTTGAGGCCAGCCTGGGCAACAAAGTGAGATTTTATGCTACAAAAATATTTAAGTAAATATCTGGGCATGCTGGTGTGCACCTGCAGTCCCAGGTACTGAGGAGGCTGGGGATGGAGGATCACTTGAGCCCAGGAGTCCCAGGCTACAGTGAGGTATGATTACACCATTGCTCTCCATCCTGGGCAAAAGAGTGAGCTCGTCTCATAAAACAAAAATCTAACAATTATTGAGTTGTCGTAGGTACTATTCTGAATAATTTACATAGTTTCTCATTTAAGCATTATGACTGTGTCATATGAGGTAGCTACTATTGTCATCTTTATTAATGAGGAAGTTGAAGCACAGAAAGGCTACACAATAGCTGGTAAGTGACAGAGTTTAAAGTAGGACTCAAGCCCCAGTTGAACTGAATCCAAAGACCAAGCTCTTTCTATTCAAATAGGCTGCTGATTTCATCAAGGTAGTGAGAAATAAGAGCCAATAAGTATTGCACTTTATTAAAAAAATTAAGTATTTGTTTTGAAGGCAGAGGAAAAACATGGTATTGAATGTTTCAGTTACATGAATGCTTGTATGTTTTGAGATATTGCAGTACAATTTCCTAAGAAGTCCTCTTACTCTCGTAGAACTGCTCTACATTTGGCCTGTGCCCGTGGCCATGTGGCAGTGGTCACTCTCCTGGTGGACAGAAAATGCCAGATTGATATCCGTGACAAATTAAACAGGACACCTTTGATACAGGTATATCGTAGCCAACTCTTTTGGCATGACATGGATTTTATTTGAATACATGGAATTAAATTTATCTTATTTAAATATAGCTAGTTGGTGAAACCTACGGAAAGTGTATTTTGAATTCTTAGAATTTACAATCTATTTCTTGATCTAATATGGACAGGCTGTGCATTCCCAGGAAGAGACTTGTGCCAGTATTCTGCTGAAACATGGCGCCAATCCAAATCTTAAGGATATCTACGGCAACACTGCTCTCCATTATGCAGTGTATAATGACAGCACATCACTGGCAGAAAAACTGCTTTCCCATGACGCAAATATTGAAGCATTGGACAAGGTAGAGATCAATGAACTTTCTTTTCAAAATATTTGTTTTAACATTGACGTAGGTAAGAGTCAATTTTTCATATTTCGAAGCTCAAGCATTCCCTGAATGCACATGCAAATTAAGTTACTTTGAAATAACTTGTCAACGATTTTATTTTAAATATTGATACTTTTACAGAAGCATTAAAGGGCACAGCTTTTTAAAATGCACTTTGGAAAATATTTGTGAATTTGTTAAAGGTAAAACCTTTTCAATTTTTTTCTAGGTAGGGTTGTTATTTTTTTTTCCTAATTAGTGTAAAACGACACAGGAAAGAAAGTATGCCCTGGAAATAAGCTTTATCTTAAAACTCAAACAAAACTAAAGCAATGTAAAATAAATGGACATCTCGCTGCTGCTGACGATTTTCTAAAAAAGTCATGTATCATCTCCCAGCGGCAAGGCTTAAGAGGGAAAAATGGATAGGGAAAAGGAGAGCAATCAGAAATATGCAGGTCACTTGAAAATTAGGTAATAAGGGAAAATGCCAAGGAGGGTTTTTATTTTTATTTTTTTTAGTTTGTTGTTCTTCCAGTTTTTGCATTGAGACAAAGTACTCTTTAGCTTTGGGTCTAATAATTTTTGGTTTGAAAAAGAGTGAGTTGAAACTTGCCCACATATTAATATTAGTAGGACTGTGAGGAAACCAGATTGGCAGTGACTACGTGGTGACGAAGTGAGAAACACTTCTGCAGAATGTGGAACAAATTATTAACTGACTTATTACCCATCCTGGCAGAAACAGCCGCTTAGATGAGAGTCTAAAGTCTCCTCTCAAATCTAGAATGTCTTAGTGGGAAGGTGGTCGATAAGGAGCTTATAAATTGCAAAATCAAGTTGGATTTTGAGTTTACTTGTCCCCGTCCTGCCCATACCCAGGAAAATTAACTGGAGTTTTAATAAAATTAACTGGAGTTTTACTCTTTTCTCTTTTGGCCACATCTCCAGCTGATAAAGGCAATTAGCCATGTGGGTGAGAGACGAAGCTGCAGTGGTTGTCTGTTGCACTAATTTTCAGATTGCACATTAGTGACCCGAGGAAATTTTGGCAAATATCTACAATTGTAGGCTTTCTCCTGAAGGTTTTGATATAATAGATCTAGTAAGGCCTGAATGTGTTTAAAAATGTTTTCTTGAAATTGGGCACAGTGGCATGTTCCTGTGGTCCCAACAAGGACAAGCCAAAAAATAAAAAACCCTCGAGGTTCAAATACACTCTTGATTTAGAACCCCAGAATAGATAATGCAATACATAAATTTCCGTATCTCAAAAATGTAAGAAATCTCAAGAAGAGTTGGCATTTGATAGGTGCTACTTTCTTCCAAGTTCTCTTTTTCAATAATGTTACCCTGACTTATCTGTCTTTCTCTACATCTGTGACTGGGAAGTGAAAGAAAAATATTATTGGCAATATCTCTCAGCTTACAAAGTAAAACCTTTTTCTTCCCACCATTAATCATTTACTGTCATTCAGAGAGTCTTTAGAAATTCGCTTATGAGAAATCTTTCAATAAGTAGAGGCTGACCCTTTCATGATTTCATGTCACTTTGTCACCATGCAGATGATTATGTGTCAACAGATGTTCATTGCAAGTTGGGGTTTCTCAGTTAGAACAGTAGCAAATCCTAAACATTTTTTTTTTCAGTTCAAGTGGTATGATGAACTCTCTCAATATGTCTTTTGAATTTATGGAGCTTTAGCATAATCAGGATGTGAGTTTCAAACACTGAAATCCGTAAATTTAATAAGAATACAGATAGTATTCTTTTAATCATTTTGTTTTAGCAGTCCTATGAACTAATTATCTATTTGGTTAACAATCTGGGAAAAGTACATACAAATAGATTTTAAATGAATAAATGTTGGAAACATTACTGAAGCAAGCATATGCGTCTTTTTAGTAATTTTTATTATATATGAGGGCCTGATTTTTTTGCTAAAACATAAGTTACTAGAGAAATAAAATATTTTACATGTAATACTTGGATTATACACAACCATTTAGTAACACATTTATAGCAAATATAAAAACACAGGGGCTCTATTCTAATGTGGTACACAGATTTGTTTGTTTGCCTCTATAAATTGAGTCAACATGTAAAATTTAGAAGATTGGTGCAGAAATCTGGACTTTCAGGCTTGTCTTTAAAAATCAAATCTGGCGTCCCCTGAGTTTCTGTCACTGCTTGGTCAGCTGTGCAGAGGTTGCCCCGTTACAGAAGGCGTGTATTCTTCAGTTTGCGACTGTGCCCACCTCAGTACTTCCCTTACTCGGGTAACCTTCCTTTGTTCTTGTAAGTATTTGAATGTATAATTCCTTTGTTGTAGAATATTTTGATAAAGATTTCAAGCTTTTTAAGTCAGCATGTATTTGTTTATAATATATGGTCTATGGATTATATAAATCCCTCAGTTATGGGATCGAATTTTAGAATTTAGAATTTTTAAAACTCTTTTTATTTATATATAGCACAAATAATCATCTGCTCATAAGAATGCCTGGAAACCTTTTAGATATTTCCTGGCTGTAGTTAGATAGTTTATGAATATTGCAGACATTACATCTTTCTCCTCAGCAATCTTCCTTAAAAATACAAGTGACTTATTGGCTTTTATTATGCTAGAAATAATCTGTATGGATCAGTATGAGAACTTATTATAAGCCATTATATTTTTATTTCTGATTTATATTTTTCCTAAAATAAAAATAATTTAAAATAGCCATTTAAGTGGAAACCAATAAAAGTGGATTTAAAAAGTAGAATTGCGTTAGGGTCCCAGGATTACCATTATAATTGAGAATATAATTTATTACTCAGCTTTAAGCATTTGTTTTTAAGTTTTTTAAACCTATCATTCTTACACAGAACATACTGAGCTTTCTAACAGTTAAGATAAAAATCTATTCTCTTGTATTAGGGGGAAAAAAAAGCCCTATGGTCTATTTAATAATAAGGAAAATAAGCACATTTGAAGCCAACCTCTCTGAATTCAGAGCTCATTTCCTTAGTGACCCATTTGCAGCAGGAGTGCCTAACATTGGCATCTGGGATCCTGACACCACTGACAGAAATGAATCAAGCAAGTTTGCACCACCCAGAGGAAAACTCCGCCTGTATTGGGAAGCTCTGGCAACTGTATCTTTGAAACTCTTAATTTCTCAAATGTTAATGTTTGCTGAAAAAAGTATTGTCAAATGGGGATTAGGTAAAGTTCAGGAGCTTTCTTGATTCGTTGGACATACAATGTAGTTTTGTAATCCTTCTCAAATGCAGATGGTCATGGGGTCTTTCCCTTGGCATGTAAAACTTCTGGTAAAGCAAATATTCTTTGGAATATAGTTTAAGAAACACACTTTAGAGATAGTAATTTCGATCATGAATTTATGTAAAAAACTTCAAGTATTTGCTACTATGTCTTAGGTTTTTGGGGCTGTAGAGACCAAAGACACAGCCCTTGTCCTCAAGAAGCTCTTGGTTTCTGTGGGAAACACTGAAATGATTACAATATACCATGCTAAGTGCTGTGATAAAAGCAAGGATTCTTGGGACTGCTCAATGTTCGCAGTGAGTTTCGATGACCACAGTCAACGCAGGGAGAAAGAGGAAGTGTGTTTACAACGCAAAGAGCAGAGCCTCAGAAAGCACACAGGAGTAAGAAGGAAGGGGCTGCTTTTCATTCACTTCCTTTCTATACTGCATGCTGAAGTTCAAAGCAGTCTTAGAGAAGGTTTTCAGTTCAGTTGAGAAATATGTAATTTTGTGAATTATTCATTTTTTCTGCTGTTTTATAGGACAGAAACACACCGCTTTTATTTGCTATAATTTGCAAGAGAGAGAAAATGGTGCAATTTTTGGTGAAAAACCAAGCGAATGTACATGCTGCGAATAGGCTGAGACGGTACAGTAGTTTTTGTGTTGTTTTTTTTTTAATAAAAACCTGAGTGTTCTAGTGGTAATAGTCATTCAAGTCAGAAATATTAATAAGAATATTAACATAATTATTGGCATATAGTAAAAAATAACATGAATAATCAGGTAGAAAAGCAAATATTTGGACTGAGCAATGTAAAGAACAGTATGTAGTAGAATTCAGCTTCTCTTATAGTGTTTCTTATTTATAATCTGATGTGTTGGGTCCTGTAGTATATTGGCTAAAGGGTTTTGTATTAGTTTTGTTAATTTTTTTTTTTTTTTGAGATGGAGTCTCACTCTGTTGCCAGGCTGTAGTGCAGTGGCACAATCTTGGCTCATTGCAACCTCTGCCTTCAAAGGTTCAAGCGATTCTCCTGCCTCAGCCTCCTGAATAGCTGTGATTACAGGCATGGGCCACTAAGTCTAGCTATCTTGCATTTTTAGTGGCAACAAGGTTTCACCATGTTGGCCAGGATGGTCTTGATCTCTTGACCTCGTGATCTGCCCACCTTGGCTTCCCAAAGTGCTGGGATTACAGGCATAAGCCATCGCACTTGGCCAGGTTTATCAAGTTTTAAAGTGTGAAGTTTTAGTTTATGATTACTAGTATTGCCATTATTATTGTTGTTGTTGTTGTTTTTCAGCCTGCAGATAACTATTCTCTGACCCCCAGCTGATTTGAATTACAAAAATGTATCAGACTGGAAAAGCAATGGGGAAATCTTTATCTAAATCTTTGCCTACTTTAGATAAGTGACCTCAGCACAGTTTCTTGGCCATCAAAGGACTATAAGTTAGCAACTGGTATTATGTCATACCCCAAAGGGACAAGAGGCTTTCTTGTTGTCTCTTTCTTTTAGCCTTGGTGATAATTTACAAAGATGAACACTTGAGCACCCAAGATGCTTATTGACATAAGCTCGTCCATGTAAATGATTATTACAGCTACACTGACAGGCAGGATATTATATTGGTAAAGTGTATCAAATAGCTGTTTAAAAATGTCTTTATTAAAGTTCTTGAGTGGAGTTATTTGTTATTTTAGATCAGCCCTCATTCTTGCTGTACATCATGGCTTGCCAGATATAGTCAACCTCCTGCTTCAGCAAAATGTTAGTATCTTTTTTCGAGATATGCACGGACGAGATGTGGGAGATTACGCTATTTCTTGTGGTTCGAAAAGGTAAGTGTTTATATTAAAAGGCCAGTTAATACTAAGTTGATGTTTAAAATAATTGCAGTCATTGCATCTTATACATTAGGCAAAAGTTCATAGTTTGGTTCAGGCAGTTTGAAATAGCAACGAGTTAGTCTACTTTTTAGCCAGAAATCAAGCAGAAGCTTAGATTAGTTAGACGTAGAGTGCAAGATTTTTTCAGGACTTTTAAGACCTTTATCCCTAGGGACCTCAATGTTGTTCATTTTATTTTAAGTATAATCCCTGTGCATCGGATAAAAATAGAGCCACATCTTTGACTTCTTTCTCTTTCTTTCTTTCTTTCTTTCTTTCTCTCTTCCTTCCTTTCTTCCTTTCTTCCTTTCTTTTTTTTCCATAGAGACAAGGTCTCACTGTATTGCCCAGGCTGGTCTTGGAACTCCTGAGCTCAAGTAATCCTCCTGCCTTGGCCTCTCGAAGTACTAGCTACCATGCCTGGCCTGACTTTTCTAATTAGTTATTGTGTCTTGAAATGTCCAGTTTGGCAGATAATCTTATATTGTCCCCTGGGGCTATCTCCTGTGTCTTCCATTCTTTGAATTTTCCAAGGAGCTAAGGGGTTCCTTAAGTCCAGGGAAGGCAATCTTTCTTTACAAGTCAGAAGGGGGAAAAAGCCATTGTCATCATGCCACTTCTTCTGTGGATTCACTTGCTGTATTGTTCCCATTGTAACTGGTCCTGCAATTTGATAATGATTGACCTTTGCCACCAGGATGCCTCCACTGATTCAGACCCCTCAGTTTTCATGGTGATTCATACATAGTGTTCAAAGCTATGGTGTTTATTAGTTTACGTACTTATGCTCAGTCATTGTTCCCAGCACCCAGCTCTGGCAGGTAGGCCTCCTAGCTTCACCTACACAAATGTGGAGCAAACTGATGCTCCCTCTACACGGAAAACCTCATTTGGAGCCCATCTCTTTGCTAGACTCAGCCTAGGCCTTCATAGTAAGTTATCCTTTGAGACCCGTCTTTGTCTTTTCTGTAACGAATATTAGTTGGGATTGTTCTCAACAGTCAGGAATGTTCAAATAACATTGCAGGAAGAGAACGGAGTTCCCTTTCCCTTTTGCTGTCACATCTGTACCTGTGAGGCTTTTCTACATTGTGTGCAGCAGCTTTGGTTAGATAGCAGAAGGTTCCATATTATCTTTCCACAGAGTAGTGGGAACAAACTAGCAGCTGGCCCCGCAGGTAATGTGTCTCTATAATAATGAAAATCTCCCAGGCTACTTGCATCTCTTCCTCAAGTTTTAAATATATTTTAAAATTCTACCTCACAGCAGGAAGCCATTCAATACAATTATCTGAACCTAAAGTAAGTGGGTTGGATTTAACAGAGCTAAGCCTCATCCATGACTCATGAGTGTCCATGTATCAAACACGGCTTTGTACTTATTTCAGCAGCAGATATATTAAAATTGGATCGATACAGAGCAGATAAGCATGGCTGCTGCCCAGGGATGGCACACAAATTCATAAAGCATTCCACATTTTGCATAGTCCCTGGAAGGTCATTTGGCTATTTGTTGACTAGCTCCAAGGATGCACTGTGAGTCAAACCAAAACAGGAGAGACCCAATACTGCGATTGTGATTATCACTATAAAACTATTGATGTACGGTGATCTGTGGAATGAGAACAGAGCTGAGTAATAATGTGACATTACATGTTGTTAGTACATGTCTTGGGAATGAGAAAACGTCTAACTTGCATTTCCTTCATGGAACTGAAAAACAATAAAAGCAGGGTTTTGTCTTGTATGTTAGTTGGAGAGGACCATGGAGATCCAGCATCCTAGCACAGATCTGCTGGCTCAGAGTTTGAGGAGGTAGAGAAGGTGTGGTAGTTGTCCAAGCCAGGTTGTGACATCTATTAGTTTTCTGCCTTTAGTGTGATTGATGAGCTCAGTGATAGGGGACAATTAGGTAATCTATTTGAGAATATACATATTTATAAATTTAGTTATAAGTTATAAATTAGCTAAAATGCCCTGAATCCAAGCCATAATGAATACAACTAATAACCAAAATTAGCGTTTAATAACATTTTCTGAAAACTGCAACATTTGAATATTAGAACTTATGGAAAAACACACATCTAGCTTTATTTGGGATTCCAAAATAGTTTCAGTAACAAAGTTCAAGAATAAATTATTCCATTGCTCTGCTATTTCTCTGAACATGTAAACATGTAATCTCTTTACATCTTCCTAACAGCCTAGTGTAGTAAGGTAGCAAAATCCTTATTTTTTTGCAAGAAACCATGGAAACTAGGCAACTTGTCTGAAAACAAAATATCTATTGGTTACAGGGCAAGGACTTACTCTGAGTGTGGGACACTTTGAACAATGTCCAGCCAACTATAGTTAATTTACTGAGCTATACTTTCTCCATTTATGAGTACTTCACTTTTTTTAATTCTTTAATTAGAAGCTTAATAAGCTTGTAAGGTTTAAAAATTTGAAGAGTGGCTGGGCGCGGTGGCTCACACCTGTAATCCCAGCACTTTGGGAGGCCAAGGCGGGCGGATCACCTGAAATTGGGAGTTCGAGACCAGCCTGACTAATGTGGAGAAACCCCGTCTCTCTCTCTCTCTCTATATCTCTCTCATCTCTCTATATATATATATATATATTTATATATATATATATACATATACATAATTTGAAGAGTAAGGGACATTAAAATTCTGATATTAGCTCTGATATTGCCTGAAATAGTTTAAGTATTTAATACGTTTGGTTAAGATTTTTTATTTCAGTATTAAAATAGCAATTTTATTTATTACTTTTGTATACATAGAATTCAAAACCAAATTACAGAACATAAAAAGAAGATACTTGAAAAAGACAATCCAGGTAAGACTTCTGATCTTGAATTTCTCATTTCTCTTAGTGGTCCTACTCTTTATTAAAAAAAAAAAAAGTAAGATGTAAGATTAAGGTAGTTTTGATTTTAAAAAACCAATTTAAAAATATGTGTAAATATCATGTATATATGTATATGCAAATTAATTGTTTAAATTTAACTTCTTTAGTTTGGAATTCAGGTTTATTTAAGAAAGTAGTTGTAGCTATTTTATCATCTCAAACCTTATTGTCTGAAAAGATTTCATTTGCTTAATTATGATCCCTAACATCCCACATAATATTTTTGCATAAATGAGAAAAAAGATTATTAAGTTAGCATGTTGTATGTCTTCTCTATAGACACATTATAACAAATTGGACTTGTGATACAAATGGACCTTCCATTTTATTTTTATAATAAATTGTTTCTATTTAGTAAATAAATAATTTCAGTTGATCCATGAATAATGTGGGGGATGGGGACTCTGATCCCTGTGCAATTGAAAATCTGAGTATAATTTTAACTTTTGATTCCCCAAACTTGTGACCAATAGCTCACCATTGACTGGAAGCCTTCCTGATAACACAAACAGTTGAGGAACACCTATTTTGTTGGTGCTACATTATTCTATACTGTGTTCTTACAATAAAGTAAGCTAGAGAAATGAAGCTGTTAGAAAGAAAATCATCAGGAAAAATATGTTGACTTTTCATAAAGCATAAGTAGATCCTGACAAAGGTCTTCATCTTCATCATGTTCAGGTTGATCAGGATGAGGAGGAAAGGAGAGGTAGCTCTTGCTGTCTCTGGGTTGCAGAGGCAGAAGAAAATCTGCATATAGGTGAACTCCTGCAGTTCAAACCCTTGCTGTTCAAGGGTGAACTGTATTACATATTGATTTGTGTCACTAATAAAGTAACTATTTTTAGAATCGGGAACTCAGCAATCTCTTCCGGTACCATAAATACACGGCAATAAGAACTGTAAAACTGAACCAGCCTGCACCCATACAAAGAGGAGATTATTTTTTGAAGATAGCTACTGAGCACAGAAGACAGAAAAGCAATTCCTTTGTGAGAAACACAAGTTATGTTACATATTCTTACACAAGCAAAATGTTCTTATCTGTCACAGTTTACACACACACACAGACACATGCACATATACACACACACACATGTGCATGTGTGTGCACACACAGACAAAGTTAAAAGTCCTGCTGATTCTTAATAACCAAATCCACTATTTGCAGGGAGCAGTGGATAACACATTCTACAGTTTGGATGCAATTCTTTTTTTTTTTTTTTTTTTGAGACGGAGTTTCACTCTTATTACCCAGGCTGGAGTGCAATGGCGCGATCTCGGCTCACCGTAACCTCCGCCTCCTGGGTTCAGGCAATTCTCCTGCCTCAGCCTCCTGAGTAGCTGGGATTACAGGCACGTGCCACCATGCCCAGCTAATTTTTTGTATTTTTAGTAGAAATAGGGTTTCACCATGTTGACCAGGATGATCTCGATCTCTTGACCTCATGATCCGCCCACCTCGGCCTCCCAAAGTGCTGGGATTACAGGCATGAGCCACCGCGCCCAGCCTGGATGCAATTCTTTTGACTTTTTTACTGGTTCTGTCATGAACTGCCTTTAATCAGTGAACCATGTTTTTAGTTTGATAATAAAAAGACTAGAAGCAAGTAAGAGGAAATTCTATAATCAGTAGTAGACAATTACAGTATATTCTATATTAGTATCATCATATGTTTTTCTCTAGTTATACAAGTTACTTGAATGATGCACAATTAATTAATTATGATTATTTAGAGATAAGGTCTCCCTATGTTGCCCAGGCTAGAATAGAGTGTCTTTACAGTGGCATAATCACAGCTCGCTGTACCCTAGAACTCCTGGGCTCAAGCAGTCTTCTAACCTTATCCTCCTGAGTAGCTGGGACTACAGTCATGTGCAGTTACATCTGGCCCCATTCACATTTATTTATTTATTTTTGGTACAGGGTCTCCCTCTCTTGCCAGTGCAGTGGTGCCTTCGTGGCTCTCTGCAGCTTCTGCTTCCTGACCTTATCAGGCATCCCCAAACTTTTTACACAGGGGGCCAGTTCACTGTCCCTCAGACCTTTGGAGGGCCGCCACATACTGTGCTACTCTCACTGACCACCAGTGAAAGAGGTGCCCCTTCCTGAAGTGCGGCGGGGGGCCAGATAAATGGCCTCAGGGGGCCTCATGCGGCCCACGGGCCAGGCCAGTAGCTTGCGGACGCCTGCCTTAAATGATCCTTTTACCTTTCACCTCAGTCTCCCGAGTAGCTGGGACTGCAAGCATGCACCACCACGCTTGGCTAATTTTCTTTTTAAGATTTTTGTTTGTTTGTTTGTTTTTAATAGATAACTTCTCACTATATTGCCCATGCTGGTCTGGAACTTCTAGTCTCAAGTGATCCTCTTGCCTTAGCCTCTCAAGATGCTGGGATTTTACAAGTGTAGCCACAGCACCTGGCCTGCACAATTATTATAAAAAAGAATTAAACCCAGTTGAGTTGTAGAAAATTGACCACCTTTTCAGTTTTTTTTTTTCCCTAGAAACATTCATATTGTAGAACATATTGCCAGTCATCAAGATTCTCCATTTTTTATTCTGGTTAAAATAGAATTGCTGCTTATTTCACTTTATTTTCTGACATCATTGTTTTATTTATTCCTTTTATGGCTTTACTCAATTGAATAGATACAGAAATACAAGAATCTTCAAGTCAAATATCAAGGAAGAAAAGAAAAAGTTTATTTTTCGGGGAAAGATTAGGGAAATTTATTAGGGAAAGTTCTTCTGTCAAATAACTATCTGATTACAGTCATATATATTATATCAACTTAATAAAAATCTCATATAAGGCATTTGTGTCAAGGATTTCCAAGAGCACCCCCAGGTTTGATGTTTCACTAGAAGGACTCCCCGGACTCAGCAAATAATCATACTCAGATCTTTAATTTATTACAATGAAAGGGCACAAGCAAAAGTAGTAGAGAGAAAAGCTGCATGTAGTCAAATCTGGAGGAAACCAGGCACAAGCCTCCAGGAGTTCTGTCCTGTGGAGTTCCTGGGATCTGCTTACTTCTCCCAGCCTCACATTTTGACAACACATGTGTGGTGATGTCTACCAGTATCAGAGTCTCACTGGAGACTCAGTACCCAAGTTCTTTTTTTGTGGAGGTTACTCTTCCTCACCTGGACCCAAATTCCAGACTCCCAGAAGGAAAGCAGCTGTTCAGAGTGACCACATTGTTTCTATAAACACTTTAGACATGGAGAGCCACCCTTCTCAGGGAACGGTGGAAACCCTCCCAATTCTAATTTCCTCAACACCAGCCAAGGGTCAGCGTTGTATGCAGACCTTTCTAAGGTTGGCAGTCTCTTGCCTGCTATGTGAAATCTTTTCTGCACAAGACTTATGGCCCCAACTTAATTTTTGGTACTCTTTTAAAATTTCATTTTAATAACATAATATTTTATAAGACAAGGTAACTTGGTACTAGTTCCTGTTGTTTGATCCGTCTTAAGTTGCAATGCTGGTTGCCTTTTTGACTTTTGGTGACTAAGGGTTATTGGTATGTAAGTTACCACAACAATAACCGTTAGTCAACACTTTTGGTGACTAAGGGTTATTGGTATGTAAGTTACCACAGCAATATTAGGTAATTATAATCCGTCCTCCTTATCTCATTAACCTTTCCTTAAAATTGTTAAATTAAATGAGCATAATAATTTCTGAGTTAAAATTAGAATAAAAAATATCTTTTATTTTGATTACATGAATAATCCAGTTTTCATATTGTGCTAAATCCATTTAGAATTATTAAATAAGATAAAATATTTTCTTGCCTAAGCATGCAATTAAATTTCTTTATTTCATATACTTTTTATACTTCAATTTGAGAAATAATGCCCACATGCTGTTACTTTGGTCTTCAGTGATCTCTAATTTTTAGGGTCACTGTGTCTTGCTTAAATATATCATAACAACAGGTTCAGTGAATATATTTTTTAAAATTTTTGTTCTGGAGATCCTGGAGTAGCTTTTTTTTTTTTTTTTTGACATGGAGTCTCACTTTGTCACCTAGGCTGGAGTACAGTGGCTCAGTCTCAGCTCACTGCAACCTCCATCTCCTGAGTTTAAGCGATTCTCCTGCCTCAGTCTCCTGAGTAGCTGGGATTACAGGTGTGCGCCACCACACCTGGCTAATTTTTGTATTTTTAGTAGGGACGAGGTATCACCATGTTGGCTAGGCTGGTCTTGAACTCCTGACCTCCAGTGATCCACGCACCTCAGCCTCCTAAAGTCCTGGGATTACAGGCATGAGCCACCGTGCTCAGCTGTGAATATCTTTTTTAGATCAATAACTTCATTTCTTAGAACAGTTTTATGTTCACAGAAAAATTGAGAGGAAAGCACAGAGGTTTCTCATATGCTCCATGCCTCCCACACATGCACAGCCTTCCCCATTATTAGTATTTTCCATCAGAGTGGTACATTTGTTACAACTGATGAACCTATGTTGATACATCATAGTCACTCAAAGTTCATAGTTCACATCAGGCTTCACACTTGAGGGGTACATTCTGTGAACTGGGACAAATATATAATGACATGTATCTATTGTTTTAATATTATGGACAGAACCGTTTCACTGCCCTAAAAGTTCTTTATACTATGCCTGTTCATCTTTCCCTTTCTCCCTAGCAACTCCTGGCAACCACTGATCTTTACTCTGTCTTGATAGTTTTACATTTTTCAGAAGAGTCATATAGTTGGAATAGTATAGTGGCTATCCTTTGAATAGTTAAAAACATTACAGTTTCTTGGTAATTGAATGTAGTCATTTAAGAAGTTCTTTGTCCTTTTGTTTTTTCTTTTGCTTCTTTATCATTGTAAGATCTGATGACATATGCTTTGCATACTTAGGAAACATGCTTTGTATAGATATTTGCCACATAATGAAAAGGGTTGAGGAAAATGACAGCACCCAGCACCAACTGGAGCATCTTGCTCTATGAGGTGGGTCCAGATAGAATCTCCAGCAGTGGAAGGGGACAAGCCCAGAAGGTTGTACTTCATAAAACTGGAATCACCAAGTCTCCCATGCTTACCTTTGGTTGGAAATAAGACCAGACAGTGAATGCTATAGGTAAATAGTTATGTTCCTCACCGATCCTCTTCCTTTGAGGGATACGTTAGACAACAGTCTGTATTATAATGACACGACTCACCTACAACTAACTGTTCTGTCAAGAGGGATGGCAAGGGAGTTTTGCTTTATGTGAGGTGAAAAATAATTTTTTTTTCCTACTAGGGAAAGAGGCAAGCATTGGCACATTCTGATAGCAAAGGGGCATTGATAGTTTCTTTCTATATATTTTTCACATCACGTAGTCCTGCCTGGCAGCCTGCCACCCCTCCCCAGTGCTTCTTAAGCTTCTCTCTGAATGTGAGGTGTGGGTCAGAGTAAATAAGCTATTAAAGGAGTGATATTTCCGCGGTTCTTTCTGTGGGAGGTAAAATGGCAGGTGAATTTGGGCCTTGTTAAACGTAGGGCAGAGCACCTAGCTACAACTAAGTAAATCACCCAGCACCTTCCCCAAAGAGTATTAGCCAGAGTAATACATTGATCTCTCTTGAGCTCTTCTCCATTGGCGGCTGGAAAGTCTTTGCAAGGATGCCTGTTTCTGGTCTGATTTTTGTTTTGCTGGCTTCTGGTGAGTGTTTTATCCTAAGCTGAACAGTTTTAAACTGAAGAGCTAGAGAGGCTGTGTTGTGTTCAACAAAGTAAGTGCAGTAGCTCCCCCTGAACTGTGGGGATACATTCCAAACCCCCAGTGAATGCCTGAAACCACAAATAGTAGTGAATCACACACTATATTTTCCTATACATGCTTATCTGTGATAAAGTTTAATTTATAAATTAGGCGCAGTAAGAAATTAACAATAATGATAATAAAATATATAAAATATAAATAAAATTATAATAATATGCTGTAATAAAAGTTACTTGAATGTAGTCTCCTAAAATTTATTGTATGGTTCTTACCCTCTTTCTCGTGATGATGTGAAGTGATACAATGCCTATGTAATGAGGTGAAGTGAGGTGAATGGCATAGACATTGTAATGTAGTGTTAGGCCACTATTTGCCCCCTGAGTCTAAGTGAGAATAAAGATCATCAGCTTTGAGTGATCCTGGCTCTTCAAGCCTTAATGATGTTGATGGCCGGGTGCAGGAGGAGCGCGTGTTGATGATTGATGGGTGGGTAGCAGATGCAGTGTGGGTGCGCTGCAGGACAATTCACACCCTGGGCTGGATAGAGGGGAATAGCTCAAGATTTCATTGTGCTTCTCAGAATGGCACACTAAAACCTAAGACTTGTTTATTTCTGGAGTTTTCAATGTAATATTTTGCAATACAGTTGACCATTAGTAACTGCAACCACAGAAATCAAAACTGTGGATGTAAAATCTGTTTGGTCTTTGACTCATTTCTTGGTGTACAGTTCTTAAAATCCTTTGAATTTTCAAAGTGATGTCCTTTTGTATGCCAATGATTGAAGGCTAGAAGCCCCTAGGTAGCTTCAGGATGGGACTGATAGCAGAAAAACCATGACATGGTAGATTAGAGGGTTGAGATCTCCTGGCTAACTCTACAAACTCTGGAAAGGAGAGAAGGGCTGACGGTTGTCAGTCACCAATGGCCAGTGATTTATTTAATCAATGATGCCTCTGTAATGAAGCTTTCATAAAGACCCAAAGGGACTGGGCTTGGAGAGCTTCCAGATTGCTGAATACATGGAGGTTCCTTGAGGGTGGTGTGCCCTGGGAGGGCAAGGAATCTTCCTGACACCTCCGCCAGACTTTGCATTATGCATCTCTTCATCTGTACCTTTTGTAATATCATTCCTGGTAAACTGGTAAATGTGTTTCCCTGAGTACTTCGAACCACTCCAACAATTTAATTTAACCCAAAGCGGGAGTCCTGGGAACCCCAATTTTAAGCCAGTTGATCAGAAGTTCTGGAGCTTCAGCCTTAGGACAGATGTAGGGAAGTGGTCTCATGGGACTGAGTCCTTTAGCTGTGGGAATCTGATGTTATCTGCAGATAGAGTGTGAGAATTGAATTAGAGGACATTCAGCTTGTGTCATCTGCAGAAATGATTGCTTGTTCGTTGGTGGGGAAAAACTCTCCACATGTTTGGTCACAGGAGCCTTCTTTGTTGATGATTGTTGCTGTGGCATGAGAGCTGAGAAAAACATGTCAAGTGTGTCTTTTCCACACATATTACTGTATACTCTATTTTAACTGCCCTCATATTTTGGTCCAGAAATCATGCTCTTTGACACTGTTCACGCATCACACCTGTTCCGCAAACATCATTTTTAGTCAGTCTCATAGGGTTTGGCTAGGATGATTTGTATACTGCAGTTCACTTGTAGATATTAAATTTTGATAAATGTATTCTTTTTTGCACCTAATAAATACAAACCAAATGAATTAAGAGTTCTTACTGCATTAATTACCTACCAATAGGTTAAATTAATATTATTTCTAATAAGGTCCCAGGTATGCTCCCAAAGGAATGATTTGTAGCAAATCGTCAGTCCCATGATTAAAAAAAAAAAAAAAAACGTAAAACAAAAAAACATGGTCTAAAGCATGAACACAAGTGTGCATAATTTTTTTATGAAGATAGAATCTTGCTGTTTTCCAAGCTGGTCTTAAACTTCTGAGTTCCTCAGGTGATCCTCCTGCCCCAGCCTCCCAAGTAGTTGGGATTACAGGCATGCATCAATGTGCATTCTTATGTTTTTAATATTCTGTATGTTTATTATTGATTTAAATGCATTTTACCTTTTTTTTTTAGTAGATGCTGGGAGTTCTGATGAATCTCTAGTCAGGTAGGATTTTGCAAATTTAAAACGTTATTTTAAGTAAGGAAATATAGATGGAGGAAACTAATATCTGTTGAGTGTTGTTTTCTAGGATAGAACCCTATTATGTGCTATGCATTTATCATCTCATAATGCCATCGCAACATCTGTGTTCCTATAACCTACTGTTCACTAAATAGGCAACTATAGTTTAGAGAGGTTAATTGACTCATGTTCCCAGAGTTAACAAAGTAGCCAGCCCACAGTTTGACCGTTAGCCTGCCTGGCTTCCAAATCCCTTCTCCTGCTCCTCAGCATAGATTGATAGAGATCTATGCAGCATTGAATCAAAGCACAAGTCCGAATCCTATTTAGATTAATTAAATTGAGACATAACAAAATTATTTTTGATTAATTTAGGCATAACAAAAATTAATTTAGATTAATAAATTAACAAATTAATTTAGATGTAACTAAAGATGTGTTAGAAATGTGGTTATTGCTTAAGGTTATTGTCAGAATGCAGTTAGTCCAAGAGTTTGTACTAATAAATTTGACAATTTCAGTAGCAACCAGTATCTTATTCTACCTTTAAAGGTTTTAGGACAGATCTTACTTAGCTTTGGACATAGGACTGTAAGTTTTAGAAAAGTAAGTTTAGGCAGGTCTTAGAGAGGAATTATTTGACTTCCCTGGTTGGTTTTCCCTTTAGGCTCATATTTCCACCTACTTCCATAATTTTTTTTTTTAGTCTATTTTCTTTTTCCATGACTTTTCTATAATCTTGTCTTGATGTTTTAAAACTTTCTTCTCTGGTTTTCTTGGTGTTTCTTTTGCTCTATTCTTTTTTCAAATTCTGCTGGCTATGCATTCCCAGTTTTTCTACAGACAAAATTAAAAGCACATGGAATCACAGAATCTTAGGAATCTTAGGACTAATTAAAATATCCTCTATTACTTCAACCTGTGTTGAACTTTCTGATCAAGTGATTCTCTAGATAGAGAACCCAGGACTCAAAGAGATGAAGATGCCTTTTTTTAGACATAGGAAGTGGCAAAAGTGAGATTTGAACTCCTTTTAAAGCCCAGTACTCTTCTCTCCTTTTTTTTTTAAATCATATTTGTGTGTATTTTAGTAATAGAAAGAGTGAGTGAGTCTTGTGCACCCCATGGATAGAATGAGAATGGAATGAGCTGGTGAACCCAATGGAAGCAGATAAGAATGGAATGAGCAGGGGAAGGCCAAGTTTGAAGAGGAACAACACTGGATTGGATAGGAGTATGGACTCTTCAATAAGAGATCAGAATCTTGGGGTTTATGACAAGTTTGATAAGGATAAATTTTAAAGACGAAGGACACAAGATGCTGGGAATTATCTACAAGGCACATTAAAATAGAAGTTTCAAGGCTGTTCTAAACAGGTTGCTTTTTTTTTTTTTTTTTTTTTTTTTTGGTCAAGAACTGACAAACGTGAAGATTTTCACTGAAAGATGATAAAAAGATTTTGAGACACTGGGAGGAGTGTCTACAGCAGACAGAAATGTGGTATCATCTATTTCCATCCTTACAGAGTGGTGGCTTAGAGCCCATGGAGTCCAAAGGGCTGCAGATTGCTGAACTACATAGATTCATGGCCCAGGGCAGGTGTCTCCTCACCAATTCCCTGATGTCCTTCTTATGTTCACGTAGGCTGGGTCCGGGGGGTGATTGGCTGGCAAATCCATCATGGAGTTCAGCTGGGTGGTTGATAGTGTGTCTATGCTGGGGGAAGGTGATGGAGACTCCAGTTCGCTTGTTTTACAGGAGCAGGGATATAGGGAGCTCCTACTCTTGGTCAGTTGAGACCATCCTTTCAGGAATCTGTGCTTTCATAGACTGAAGATTGGAAGATTGGGGACTTCTGTGGAGCCCTGCAGAAGTGGAACCTAGAAGTGGGAGCCCATGGGAAGAATGATATTTAGATAGTACTTAGGGGAATCGAGGTGCAACTACCAGGACTCTGTGTTTTCAGTGGTCTGTCTTCCTGGGTATCTGAGTGCCTATAAATGTTTTTAAGGGCTTGCTAGTTTATGTGGATGCAAGTAAGTTAGGACCTATAGAGCGAAAATAATGAGATTTCATAATCGTTAATGTTTTAGTCTTTCTGGGAATAGCATTCTCAATAAGAACATACACCTTTGTTATTTGGCTTTTGTACATTTAGCTTTCACAGATTTCAAATATTGCCGGGTATTCCCTGTACTGTTTTAGGGCAAAGGAAAGCAATAGGACCTTCCTAAGTAGTTTGCATGCCGAGGACTTTATACTGCCATGGTGTCACTTCACAACGGTGGTATAAATTCCTCAGATTAGTCTTTTAGGCAGAGATAGACTATGAACAAGAGAGTGGATCTCTCTACCTTGTTTCAGGTCATCAGGTGTCTTCCAGTTTAGGTAACAAAAGTTATGTCATTCATTCACTGAATTTTAAGTTCAGCTTCAGAACAGATCATTTGTGAGGGTATAAATTCTTGCCAGGCTCTGCTAAATACTGGGTGTCACTATTTGTTATGGACCTCATGGTCAGTTTTCATTGAATATTTTATAGATTTAGACAGGTGGAGGCAGAAATAGGTCACTAAAGTAAAGTTTTAGAATAGAGGCCATATTTTAATTATATCAAGAAACGTTATTTAATATACAGATAGCTGACCTTTCCCTATATTGTGTTTTTGTTCTTTGGAGAAGGAAGCTGGATTTGAACTAGCAGATAAAAAAAGTAAAAAAAAAAAAAATCATCTTGCTCATTTTCATTGTGTATTTTTGCTCTAAAGCATTTTCCAAGACCTGTATGTGGATTCACACACTAAACCAGAGGATGAAGGCTTGACAGTTACTACCAAGGTAAAGTGGCCTCTTGTTACATTAATTTTCTCACTCTGAATCTAGTTTTACATAGTATTTACTTTTAAAATTTAGCAGTGGTTACCTATCATTGTTTTATGTTGGTAATGGAAAGTTGGTCAGAGAAAAACGTAGACATATGGCTAGTTGATTAAAGGAAGTTGCTTAACTTTGGTAACTAATGAAAGATTGATAAGTGCTGTGACAGGGTTGCAGCTGAAACAATTTGGAAAATACGTAGAGGAAAACCACATTAGGAAACGCTTTCCTTAGTAGAGGAAATATAAAATTTGGTTAAGTTTTAGTTGGACAAATATGAATACTTTGACTTTTAAATCATACTTGTGTGAGTTTCATAATATTTATGCCTGTATAAATCTTCAGGGGATCAAATGACTTGTAGTAATCATGGAATCTCCCTGGTACCTTTCAGTTGCAAATCCGTACAGCACATAGCATATAACTTTTTTTCTTGGACACTTATTATTTTGGTATCATGTATTTTTTAGGAGAGATTATTACTCTGCTTATATTATTGGCACCATAGGAAGACTAAAATAATATTTAAAATTGTAGAAAAATAGCTGAGTGTTGTGGTGTATGCCTGTAGTCCCTGCTACTTGCGAGTTTGAAGCAGGAGGATTGCTTGAGTCCAGGAGTTTGAGAACAGCCTTGGTAACATAACAAGGCTATCTAATTTAAAAATATAGATTGTAGAAATGTAGAAATTTAAATTTATGTTTTCAAAGTTTGTATTACAAAGGGATTTTTGTGTGTTTTATAAGTTTTCCATGAAGGGTATATATAAAACTATTCATCTAATTGAATAACATGTATCTTGCTGCAAATAACCAGTCCTAGAAGCAGAGACTCTTAATAGCAATATGGTAAGACTTCAACATCATAATTTTGTCACTGTAGTTTATTTAAAATATCCACTCAAGGTCCTTATATCACATTCTGAAATTTCATATTTCAGGTTTTTATATTTAGTTGTTTAAATTAGTGTTAAAATCTCCTGCGTACCATGAGCTACTGGAGGTCATTAAACATATTTGTGTGTGTCTTGGAGTACCTTGAATACAGTCTTCCATGTAAGAAGCATTTTAATTGTGTGTGTGTGTGTGTGTGTGTTGTCTTTTGGAGATGGGGTTTTTACCTTGTTACCCAGGCTGGAGTGCAGTGGTGGGATCCTGGCTCACTGCAATCTCTGCTTCCTGGGCTCAGTTGATCCTCCCACTGCAGCCATCCGAGTAGCTGGGAATATAGACCTGCGTTACCACGCACGGATGACTTTTGTATTTTTTGTAGAGATGGGGTTTTGCCTTGTTGTCCAGGCTAGTTTTGAACAGCTGGGCTCAAGGGATCCACTTGCCTCAGCCTCTTAAAGTGCTGGGGTTACAAGATATGAGTTACCACATTCAGCCTTAATAGTTATTTAATCTAAATAAATAAATAGACAAATGACTTTTTGTATTATGGAATGTTATAAGTAATGTTACATACCTAATGTAGCTCATGATTAAATACCGCATTTTTAAAATACTGCCTACATTTGTATTATTTTTTAATGTTTAAGAACGTATAAGTTTTGATGTGTTATGCTGAGAAATTATGCCATTAATAAAAAGGAAATAAATTATAATAGGTCACAAATAGCCAAGAAATTTACAATATATTTTCTTGTATCATTCAACTGAAATCTTAAGATTATGATTTTAGATTAAAAATTTTTTAACTTTTTGTTAGCCCCAATTTATGTTGTATGTATATTAAAGATACCATTGCAAAATGGTATCTTTACATGCTGGGTTTATGCTGGGTTTATGCTAAATATACCCTTTTAAGCCATACATTACTCTTTAGCATTCTGGTGACCAATTCTTTCTGTAGGTGGAAAGCTCCAGTTTTCTCTTTCTGTAATAATAACATTCTTTCAGGTAGTGGTTGACGACCATGTTTAGCTAATTGAATGTCTTATAGTAATAAACTCCGTATCACAGAAGTATTTACAAAAAACTCACTGTAGCATAAATGTTAATTAGCATTATTAGGCCTATCAAGGACCAAAAAGCTCTGCTATAGATCTATCTCTCCATGTACTTTACTGTACTTACTGTTTCTTTTCTTTCTTGGCTTAAGCTCATATTTAACTGACCAATTAGGTTTCTTTTGTGTTTGTTTCTCTCTTTTTCTCACATTTTAAAAATGATTTATTCCAGCCTGTTTTTTCTCTCCCAGATCTCATTGCTCTAGTGACTGGTCTTTCAGTCCACCTCTGCCTTCATTATCAGCATGTTGTTCAGTTACAGCTTTCTCTTTTAGTTAACTTTGTGCGGCTTTCATTAAAAAATTATTGCCCCACAAGGTTTATTCTTGTTTTTCTTCTTCTTCCTCAGAAGAAGCTGAATTTATACACCTATCTTTAGCTTTTGACAAACAGAATAGAAGCAATTAATACTGTTTTCAATGCCAACCCACTTAAATAAGGGACTACTATAAACTAAACTCTCACAGTTTTCCCACAAAAATAAGTGATTTGTGCAAGTAATTACCTCCTGCATATGCCTGTAATGATTTATTTTCTTATTTGTTAGCCCATAATTAATATAGTAATTATGTGCCCAGTACATTACTGCTGCATAGTTTAATTCTGGTAATCTGCTTAATTCATTTAAAAAGAAAATACAGTATAGTGCATGGAAAATAAAGCTTAGAATTTGCAAAAAATTAGTTTGTGTTCTGCAGGTAAGTTTATCTAAACACTGAAGAATTATTTCAGGTTAAGCCTTGGCCAAATGTATCTTTCTAAGATATGTCTGGATGTGCAAAAGTCTTAAAGGGAGTTAGAAACAGTTTGAATTGTAGTTTTGTTTTGTTTTGTTTTGTTTTGTTTGTTTTGCATTTGGAACTTGAAAAGATAATGCTGGGACTTTAATATATTTGTATATTTTGATTGTTCAATACAGATGTATAATGAACATTTTAGGATAAGAGAAAACATGGGGAGTAGTAACTGTGGGACTGTAATAACAGCAGCTTGACTTAGTGTTGTAATAAGCGAAGTCATTTTCAAAAACAGAACACACTGAATACTTTCGTGGCAGCCAAACTTGTAGCAGGAGAAGTCTAAGAGGAAGATGATATATTCTAATGTGATGACTCTGGAGAGAAATGGGAGGGGCCTGACTGTTCACTGGAAGCAGCTGCTTCATGGTTCTACCAGTACCAAGCGGAAGTCAAAAGACATGTTAGTGTCCAGGTTCTGCCACTTACTAGCTGTGCGACCTTGGGGAAAATTCTTTAACCTATTTAAATATCACTGACGTCCTTCATAAAAATGGTACTAATGGTACCTCTCAGGCATGTGTAATGAACTAAAGTAGTGGGAAATGTGAAAACATTTGTAAACTAGAAAGTGTATACACAAAGGTGAGACAAAATGATCACAGCAGTATTCAGTGACTTAATAAATCTTGAGGAAGCTTTTTGTAAACTGAAGGACAATAAAATGTCAGTAGCACCAAGGAAAGAATGAGAAAGTAGGAACTGACATGTGGATTTTGAGTTTGGGCTAGGAGTGTGCTCAGTTTCAGCAGCCCAGTATGACTAGAGATGCTCTCTAGAAACATAGCAGTTTGGGACATGAAACTTCTTGATGAAATTTTAAGTGTTTTCATCTAGAATTTATTTTGGTTCTAGGTCACAAACTGTGCTTGTCAGTGAGACACCGAATAAACAAGATGAGGGCTTACGCTATAGTAGTGGAAACAGAAAAGTAACCAGCAAATTCTTCTAACTCACTATAAATGCTTTCTATAAAGAAAACAGAAAATGTTAAAAGATATCAAGGAAGTTTGTGGTTAGGATGGGGATGAGAGTGGGAGTGGAATTCTGTGGTCACAGAAGACCTCTCTGAGTGTGATATTTAAGCCGTCAACCAAAGGATGAGAAGGAGCCAACCATGTGAAAGTCTAGGAGGAGGAAATTCTGAATGGAGAGAAAAATGGATCACATCTTTTCATCATTTTGCTCATAACATACTGGAATAACTAGGAAGCCCTCATCATAATCAGTTTTTATGATTACAGTGTGTACAACATATGTGCACGTAAGATCCTGGCACATTTTAGATGCTTTCTAAATAAAGATTCTTTTTTTTTTCCCTTTTAAAAAAAGAAAGCTTGCCACACTTTTATTTTTATTTTATTTATTTTTTTGAGACAGAGCCTCACTCTGTCACCCTGGCTGGAGTGCAATGGCTCCATCTCGACTCACTGCAACCTCTGCCTCCTGCGTACAAGCGATTCTTCTGCCTCAGTCTCCCGAGTAGCTGGGACTATAGGAGCGTGCCAGCACACCTGGCTAAATTTTGCATTTTTAGTGGAGATGGGGTTTCACTGTGTAAGCCAGGATGATCTCAATCTCCTGACCTCATGATTCACTCACCTTGGCCTCCCAAAGTGCTGGGATTACAGGAATGAGCCACCATGCTAGGCTTAGCTTGCTTGCTACACTTTTTTAAAGTTACTTCTTTTTCTTTTTCTGAGATAGGTTCTCACTTGGTTGCTTGTGCTGAAGTGCAGTAGTACAATTTCAGCTCACCACAGCCTTGACCTTACAGGCTAAGGTGATCCTCTGACCCCAGTGTTCTTAGTAGCTGGGATTACAGGCTTGCACCACCATGCCCAGCTAATTTTTGTATCTCTTGTAGAGATGCAGTTTCAACATTTTGCACATGCTGGTTTCAAACTCCTGGGCTCAAACGATCCACCCACCTTGGCCTCCCAAAGTCCTAGGATTACAGGTGTGAGCCACTGCCTCTTGCCTGAAGTTATTTCTTAATTGGAAAAAGTTGCACAGTTTATACATATCTACTTGCTTTTATTTAAATACAACATAAAAGTTTTATTACTGCATTAATCATCCTATTCAACCATTTTTTGTGTGTCACTAAAAACTTTTCAAAAAATATGTAGGTATTTCCAAGCCCCTGCTTACCTAAATGAAGCATCAATGGAACAGTGTCCTATTGTGGGTCAAAATGACATATTTCCAAGTTTTTTCTCATAAGTATCTTATTTTAGTACTGACATATTTGTGAGGAATATTTAAAATTTTTAATACTGTAAGTATTATAGCAAGTATATGATACATATCTTGAGAAAGAGTCTCACTCTGTCACCCTGGCTGGAGTGCTGTGGCATGATCTTGGTTCACTGCAAACTCCACCTTCCTGGTTCAAGCAATTCTACTGTCTCAGCCTCCTGAGTAGATGGGACTACAGGTCCACACCACCAAGTCTGGCTAATTTTTGTGTTTTTAGTAGAGATGGGGTTTCACCATATTGATCAGGCTGGTCTTGAACTCCTGACCTCAGGTGTTCTACCCACCTTGGCCTCCCAAAGTGCTGGGATTTATAGGCATGAGCTACCACACCGGGATGACATGTATTTTTTAAATGCTTTCTTATTTTTGGTGGAGACTGCAAAGTAGAGTTAGGTACTTTGAAGCCAGTTCCTGGTTGAAATATGCACATGTTAATATTTTGTCTGTGAAGATGTTTCTTTGGGTCACCATGCTTGGATAATGGAGTCAATGTCCGTATGAAGATAGGAGATGAGCCTGATCTAGAAAGTGTAGATGAGGTTCTATACTGAAATACTTGCATTTTTAATACATACTTCTCTTATTTTAAAGTCAAAATAGTTTTAAAATAGTAAATTGAAATTTTGGGGGAGACAGGGTAGTGCTGTTGCCGAGGCTGGAGTGTAGTGGCATGATCTTGGCTCACTGCAGTCTCCATGTCTCAGGCTCAACTTATCCTCCCGCATCAGCCTCCCGAGCAGATGGGACTACAGGCATACACCATGATGCCTGACTCATTTTTGTAGAGATGCATTCTCATTATGTTGCCCAGTTGCATCTGGAATTCCTGAGTTCAAGCCATCCACCCACCCTGGCCTTGCCAAGAGCTAGGATTACAGATGTGAGCCACCGTGCCTGGCCTAAATTAGGGTTTATTTAAATAAATTGATTGGGGCTGACTGTGGTGGTGCACACTGGTTATCGCAACACTTTAGGAGGCAGAAATGGAAGGATTACTTGAGCCCAGGAGTTTGACACCAGCCTGGGCAATATAGTGAGGCCTTGTCTCTACAAAAATAACAATAAAAACATTAGCCTGGCATGATGGTATACCCCTGCAGTTCTAGCTACTCAGGAAGTTGAGGTGGAAGACTGCTTGAGGTCGGGAGGTTGAGGCCACAGTGAACCACAATCATGCGACTGCATTCTAGCCCTGGAGACAGAGTAAGACTCTGTTTTTTTAGAAAAGAAAATATTGATAAGTTTGATGCAACTCATTATAATTTTTAAAATGAAAACTCACTCTTTATATTCCCTTAGCAATGTGTTCCCGAGAAAGTGTCAGAGCCTTTACCTGGACCTTCCGATGATAAAGGAAACAGTGTAGTCAACGGAAAAAAAGGTGAGAATCATATTTTATTTAAAAAGTCATTTGATTGAATGATTCTTTAAAAATATGAGCACTAATATATTCTAATAGCTAAAGAAAATGTCCTATTAAATGTATAATAAGCAGGAGTAACATGGTGATAAGTTGTGTCTCTAATCAGAGGTCAGCAGGATTCTATCGGGAGTGCCACAAAGGAGCTGAGTTATTACTTCCATTTTAAGATACTCTTAAGACCTGAGGCAAGTCAGGAAAGAGGGAAGAGGAAATGAACGAAAGAGGAAGAAAGAATAAGGAGGGCAGAGTGTACACGGAATAAATGAAAAAAAAAAATATGCGGGTGTATGGAATGGAGGGTAGGAGAGTCAAACTGATCTGTAGAAGGAAGAGCAGGGTGTTAGAAATAGGGAAGAAGGTAAAGTGAACTTCCAGTACCAAAACTGTCAGAATCAGTTCATGAGCAACATTATGGCTTATAATGTAGTATTGCATTCAGGAACATGATAGGAAAGGAATAGAGGCGAGGCTCCCAAAGGGCACTTAGGGTAAACAAATATGGAAGCACGTCTTTGGAGAACAGGGCATTTCAATACTCGTGAATTGGTTGAGGAGCTTCTGGAAAATGCACATTCTGAATCAGCGAGTATGGGATTCTGCATTTCTCTTGAGTACTCGGGTGATGTTGATGCTGGTCCTTGGACACAGCTCTGAATAGCACAGGAGCCTCCTTTAGAGAAATCTGGAAAAAGAACCATTAGGCAGCAATTTAAAAAAATAACAGAATCAAGGGAAAACATTAATTTCCTTTTATTTCTGAGCATGATTCTAACCACAGGGGAGGGAGAATGAGATGAAAAAGAAAGAGAAATATGTGTGTACTACTGCTGAATACAGATGAAAAAAAGTGGTTGCAATTATCCATAAAAAGCAGTTAGGAAGGGAAGCATCAGGATGACAGATCTAAAGATTCCTTTTGCAAAGGAAGAGGGATTGTGAAAGGACAAGGAGAGAGGAAAAAAGGAAGTTTGCTGGGGACTTGAGAGGTGAAGCCAAGGAAACATGAGACCTCACTTCCAGGTGCTTCTAGATATGCCCAGTCTCAGAATAGAGGTATTGCTGTGGAGAGTACTGGAGGCAGGAGGGAGTGCTAGAATGGGCGTAAAGCACAGCAGCTCGTTTCTCTTCATAACTGTCAGGCCTCAGAAAGGGAAATGGCATTGATATGAGTGAATAAGATGCGATTGAGTTGCATACAGATGCTTCGGCTAATTTTTTTTTTGAGACAGCAAGTTCTTTGATATGCTCGCTCTTTCATAAAACTTCTCTACAGAGCAAGATAATATATCAAACTTATCTAATTTTAGAAGCAATCATATTATCAGGTTTATTCTGTGAATACCAAAATCATCATTTTCAAGAAATACTGCACTGATTTTGAAATATAAAAGTTTATTCATATTCGGCACATCTGTGGTGATTTAGCGTTTTCTTTTTTAGTAAATATTTTGATGTCGAAAGCTTATTCTACATGGTTCATTTGATGTGTTTCATGGACCATGTTGCATGAGTGGATCAAGGAAGTCTAAGACAAGGCCAAACGAGGGGATATGAGAAATGTAGGTGTCGCAGTAGTTCACGTGGTCACGGAAAAATGAGTATTTTGCTTATTTCGTAAGTGTGTTTCCTAGCTGATATTTAGAACGCTTTCTTTGATGAGAGGTGAATCACACGTTCACCTAAACTGTAATTCCAGCTGTGTATTTTCTCACTGATAGGACAGGGGGAATTTATGGTGTGCTGGCAGCAATGCCTCTGATGTGTTGCGTTCAAATACTCTGGCACTGACCATCAGCTTTGACACTGGTTCCCTCAGGTATGATTTGCTCCTCTGTTTAGTGGTCCCTTTTCCCTGCATCAGCTCACGTGCTCACATTGATATCCATGCTTTTCTATTTTAGATATAGGTATTTGAAACATAATTTCACTATTGAAATGTAAACTGTGCATTTTAAAAATCCTATATTTTTAGTTTTCTTATTACATTTTTGTCAAGTTGCTGTCCTAGGCAATGAAAAGAAGAAGCCAAAAAGAGCCCTCAAAATCTTAAGTAATTATTTTTATGGCCAGGCATGAGGACTCAGCTTGGTAGTAATACTGCATGAATGTTTGGTTGGCCCTGTCATACTTATATATAATTTACGACATGTCCCCTTTTTTTGTAGGGCCTCCTGCAAAACAGCTTTCTGGGAAGGTAATTAATTATATATTTTTTTGAATTACTAACTCCATGTTGTATAAAATATATATGATTTGTTAATAATTTTCTTTTAAAACCCATTCAGCCTACCACTGAAAGGGAAGATCCTGCTGTGAAAGAAGTGGTACAGAAAAAGAACGAACAGACATCGAGAGCAGGTACATTTTCAATACAAAGAGAATGCTGGAAACAAGTACATTAAAGGATTGCAAGTATTCACATTTGTCTCACCCCTAATTCTATTTGTTTTACATTGAATGGAAAGCATTGATGTAAATGTTATTATAGATAAAATAAAAAAATTTAGAAGCATAAGAAAATAAGATTTTAAAATGTAAGCTTTAATTCAAATGTTTTGAATACCATAAAACTTTCAATATAAAATTTTTATACTTGTCAGAGATTCAAAGCAGTGAATGTTGAGACACTAAGATATTTCCAGTGTGTTATGTGCTAGTTGAAGTTCTGATCTTTACCTAGAGGAAAGTTTTACTTACTAACATGTCAGTTTCTAACTTCAGAAACTTCCTGCTAGCGTTATTACACTGGAGATCTAAAGCCAATCAGATGTTCTAATTAGCAGACTGTGTGCACATGTGTATGTACGAGTGTGTGTATGTGTGTGTTTAAGGCATCTTTGATTTTTAAAAATGAGAAAAGTAATCATTCATTTATAATGGTTAGATCCAGTCTTTTAAAGTGGTGATTTCGAGACTTTTTGCTGTTAAAGTCTTTAAAAAATGATTGCATAGAGGCTACCACATCATGAATTGGTTGTTTTTTTATGTCAATGCCCTTTCGAAATCTTTAACTACATTGTGATGCTCAGAAATAATATGCAGAATTTTTACTTGTGTCCTAAAATGGTATGTGAGTGGTTATACCCTTTACATACCTTTCTGCCACTTTCTTTGGTGTACTTTGGATTATATTTTCTATATGTATCCACATTGATATAATTAGGTCAGTTTTAATTTACTTTATACTTTTTACTATGTTCCTTTATACCACTCTACCACATTTAATTAGACTCTCCTGTTGCTGATAAATGAAGAAAGAAAGAAAAAAGGAAAAATAAAAATAATGTCAGGTTAAAAAGAGCTTTTGTTTAATCGGTTTGTATCTATGAATATTTACTATATGAGAGTTTAAAGCTGAAAAGTTCAGAATGCAAGCATGTACCACCATATTTTGCAAATGCCTTTAGAACTATGACTCATGAGCCTTTAGCATATGCAGTTATGTCAATTCATTTCTCTGAAGAAGTTAATTGTACTGTTCTTGAAAAAGAAAACTGAAAATAGCATTGAAACTGAAAATGACATTGTCTTATTTGACCTCTTGGACATCCTTGAATGAAACTGGAGCTCCAGGGATACTCAGATCAAAATTCAGAACCAATGTTGTGAACAATATATATAGTTTGTAAATGTCTGGTGATCATGAGTCCTTGATGATGAAATGGCCTTTCAAGTTTCACTTTTGTGTTTTTTGTTCTTTTCTTTGGCTTGTTTTAAAAAGCTTAAATTCAACAGTTTTATTTATACAGAAACCAGCAACAGAACTTTTGAAATATATTTCTGTCCTATCTCATGGGATTGTATACTCTTCAGATCTAGTGTGGACCTAGACTTATTTTTACCTGGGGACAATTAGGTTTTTGGTTTGTTCATTTGTTTGTTTGTGTTTTCGAGACAGACTTTTGCTCTGTATCCCAGGCTGGAGGGCAGTGGCTCAGTCTTGGCTCACTGCAATCTCTGCCTCTCGGATTCAAGCAATTCTTCTCAGTAGCTGATACTTCAGGCACATGCCTCCACACCCCGCTAATTTTTCTATTTGTAGTAGAGATGGGTTTCACTATGTTGGCCAGGCTGGTCTCTACCTCCTGGCCTCAGGTGACCTGCTCACCTCAGCTTTCCAATGTGCTGGGATTAAAGGTGGGAACCACTGTGCCCTGCTTAAGTTTTTTAAGGCTGTTATATTTTATACCAATTTTTGATCTGTATTTAAGGCTTCACATGTGAATTCTGAAGGTATTCATTCATTGAGGGAAGATCATCTCTGTTTAATGAAAGCAGTTTTAATTTAACATATATTCATTAAAATTTTTTTTGAAATTTTTGTCTCTAGTACACAGAAACACAATAATATCGTAGTTATTTAAACTTAATGTATTCATGCACAAACTTAGTTATTCAGATATTTTCTTATTCCTGTAGAATCTTAATTATTAATAAACAAATTTCTCATGGAAAACAAAATATATTACAGAGATTGTTGAGTGATTCAAAGTAAATTGTACTATATAACATAAGCTTAGACCAAAGTGAGAGATTCTAGTTAATTAAACTTATCCAAGTTAACAGAAATTACAGGACTTGTAAAATATGTTAGGCCACGAAGGAGTGGTGTGTTTGTGGGGTACCGGACAACATGGGACTGCTTCTGTGTAGAAAGAATTTTTATACCTTATTACAATTTGTATTACTATTTACATTCTAATAAAAAATATTTTCAGACATTTTAGATTATTTTTCCACTAGTTGGGCCATCAATAGTTAAGACTTTTCAAAGATTTGGGAAGTTGAGAATGGATGATAATATTTATCTGTATCACCATCGGTGATCAAAAATCAGGCAACAATTACAGACTTTGGACACATGAACTTCATAGTTAAAGAAAGGATTAATTTTGGAGCTGTGTTTCTATCAGGGAATTATACTCTTCATTACCTGTGTGAATCACAGCTATTAGGGTAGAAAGAGAAGAAAAAAGGAAAAGAAGCATACAGTTTTATTCTAGACTTCCCAGTTGGCTTCATGCTACCATAGTTCTGACTTTTAAAAAGTCATTTTGTGGCCAAATGTACTTTACGTTTACTCCCCTTATGCAGCCTACAACCAAACAGAATGCTTCTTACCAAGGCATTTGTATTCTTCCTTTGAGGACAGCAACATATAAATAACAAAGAGAATGAGGAGAAAAAGTAATTTTACTAAGGTTAGTACTTAACATAAACTTGAGTGTGGGCACCATGATTATAATTACAATTCTGAGGCTGGATGAGAAACCCAGGTAGACAGCTACAGATTTATTACTCAAACATAATGTGGCTTCTTTGATTTATTTTTACGTCTCTAATTTTGCAATTGTTAGGTAGAACTATATGCAGTGTTACTAAAAATACCTTCCAAAATCAAATATTATATAATGTCTATGGCTTTCTGTGTTATAGTGTTGATTTTTCTAATATTAATGGGAACTGTTGAGCATTTGCTTTGTCGTGTCTCCTCAGCTGTATTCGTACTTTCCATCATGTTATTTTGATGGATAATCATGCACTAGGAATACGGGTTTTAAGAAGAGTTATATCATTTAAAGAGAACACATGAGCATCAAATTTAATTCTGCTAGAACACCCTGTCAGTTAATTAACTGCAGCTAATATGTGGTCTACTTTATGTACAAGTTAAATTCAGGGCCCTTAATCAGTCATGTGATCAGGTCCACAGTAATAAATCACGTAATATTTTTTCACCCCTATAGTTTTAATTTCTTTCTTCCCCTTACGTCTAGAATTAACATTGTGTTTTACAAAACACGATGATAATCTTACAGAGTAGTGTTAACAAGCTATAAATCCAGTTTCTTACCTATGCAAATGACTTGTTCGATCCTGTTTTCTCATGTGCTTGATAGATCAAGGAAGCAAAACTTAAAAACAAAAAACAATCCCAAATGCATTTCCTCAGTACAGTAAGACTGAAACAGAAAAAGTATACAGTAATACAAGTAACTGAAGCAGTTTATGTATATTACTTTACTTCTCATTTGATAACTTTTGTAAAGTAATGAGCAGAGTATATTTCTCCAGGGACCCAGATATATGCATTTATTCATTCAATAAAAATTTATTCTTATAATGACTACTGACACTTATATCCTCAATATTTCTGAAAACATCTCAGTTCAGGCCTGCATCAACTTTGCAACATTACCTTACATTTTATCTTTGTTCATTTATTTATATGCCTCTGAATTTTCTGCTCCTTATAGCATTTAGAGTTAATTATCTCTAATGCAAATAGATCTGTGAACCATTCTTGAATACATTAATGTCCAAGCATCTTAAAGGTTTATAGAAGGCTTTCAGAAACTGACTTCTGGGCTGGGTGTGGTGGCTCATGTCTGTAATCCCAGCACTTTGGGAGGCCAAGGTAGGTGGATCATTTGAGTTCAGGAGTTCAAGATCAGCCTAGCCAACATGGTGAAACCCTGTCTCTACTAAAAATACAAAAATTAGCAGGCAATAGTGGCATGTGCCTGTAATCCCAGCTACCAGGAGGCTGGGGCAGGAGAATCGTTTGAACCCAGGAGGCAGGGTTGCAGTGAGCCGAGATCGTCCCACTGAAATCCAGTCTGGGAGAGAGAATTAAGACCTTGTCTCAGAAAAAAGGCAAAGAAAAACTGACTTCTGCCCAATCTCCATCTGTAGCCCTTTCCCCATCTGCCCTTTTCTCTGGAATTAATGAAACGCTGGTAGTACCCCCCTCACCATTCCTCTTTTTTTTTTTTTTTTTTTTTTTTTTTTTTTTTTTTTTTTTTTTTTTGAGACGGAGTTTCGCTCTTGTTACCCAGGCTGGAGTGCAATGGCGCAATCTCGGCTCACCGCAACCTCCGCCTCCTGGGCTCAGGCAATTCTCCTGCCTCAGCCTCCTAAGTAGCTGGGATTACAGGCACACGCCACCATGCCCAGCTAATTTTTTGCACCTTTAGTAGAGACGGGGTTTCACCATGTTGACCAGGATGGTCTCGATCTCTCGACCTCGTGATCCACCCGCCTCGGCCTCCCAAAGTGCTGGGATTACAGGACCATTCCTCTTTTGTAGAGAAATACATATGCTCTCGGAGGCTTCTCGCCCTCTCTTGTTGCTGCCTGGCCTGTGCTCACCCTTCCCTGCCCTCTGCCTCACTTAATCTTTATCCAACTGTTCTGTGTAGTTCATTTTAACTCAACCTATGTATTTGTCAGCAGGACAAGACTTCCTAGTGGATTCAGAGGAAGAGCAAGAAAGCCTTGAAATAAGTGAAAAGAAGGAACCAGAGGTATAGAAACATTTACATTTAAATTTCTTATTAATATTGGACTTTTTTTTTTTTTGCTTTAGTAACAAAGCATGGTCCAAATGACATGACCTTTTAGACTATACTTTTAGAATCCAATTGATCATAATTTTATATTTAATTTTTAAAACATTTTAATCATTTATGAACCTTAAGATAGTCTTACCACTTCTAGTAACTCATAGCTATCTTTACCCTTGGAATTGAGGCAAGAAATATGCAGAATTCTCTTGCCCTTTTATTTTTATAACCTTATTCATAATACAGAAGGTAACATGAAATACTGAGTCATATTACTAAGCAATAGAAAGTATGAACAATTTAACAATGATGGCCACTGAGTTAAAGGAGTCGTCATTGCCATTGGTTCAAATTTTGCAGTTTTATGTTGCTGGTCACCAGTGCTGAATTTAAAGATTTATTCTGCTTTGTCGTCTCCAGTTGACTTCAGTGTCTGTGTTCAGGGAGAGAATGGGGTCATAAAAGTCAACCCAGTTGCCTATTAAGAGAATCATACCTTCCAGAATGGGAACTTTGGTGTCAGGGTACAAACAATAACTTTATTTCAACATAAATAAATAGTAAATATTACTAAAAATTTTAAAATCCTTCCACCACCATGAGTGGAAGTTAAAATATATTAGAAGTGGATATAAGCAGAAAATCTATCTAGATACATAACATTATCATAATGTATCATTTGAATTAGAATTTAAAATTCTGCTTCTCTTTCTGATTGGTGTTTATTTTGGCTCTTAATAATTTAGTGTTTGCCTAGTCTCCAGTTAATCTTCACTATTTCTGGTATGCTGAGGTAAAATATTTTTAAAAGAGGAAGCTTCATAATACTACATGTTATCTGTGAATTCATTTCTGGTAGATTTAACACATGATGAATTAAGTTTAATCCAAACAAACACTGAGAGTTTAGCTTGCTGGTTCATGTTTCTCTCCTATGTTAAGCCAAAGCAAATTATTTTTCACTTTTTAGATACAATCCCATAATTTAAGAAATTTAAGAGTAGCAACACAGAGATTGTTTCACAGTTAAATTTTAATTATTTTCTAATATTTCTTTGTTCACACTTGATTAAAACTAATTTTAAAACATGCACCCTGGCTGGACACGGAGGCTCATGCCTGTAATCCCAGCACTTTGGGAGGCCAAGTCAGGCAGATCACAAGGTCAGGAGTTCAACACCAGCCTAAATAACATAATAAAACCGTATCTCTATTAAAAATACAAAAAAAAAAAAAAATTAGCTGGGTGTGGTGGTGCACATCTGTAATCCCAGCTACCCAGGAGGCTGAGGCAGGAAAATCGCTTGAACGCAGGAGGTGGAGGTTTCAGCGAGCTGAGAATGCACCACTGCACTCTTGCCTGTTACACCTTGCAACTTCATCTCAAAAGAAAAAAAAATGCACCCTGACTGAAAAGACATCTGAGAAACAAAGCAAAACAAGCAAATTAGTTTTCCACTTTTGTGCCTGCAAAAAAAAAAAAAAAAAAAGACTCAGGCACCTGAACTGAGTAAGAATTGTGATAAAGGGAATATATACGTATATTCAGGACTTCCTTTAACATTCATTACAAATAGGTTCAAGCTGAATATTGGTGAAAGTTTTGAAAACTTCAAAATTACTTCTTGTCCTAAGGAGGAGCTCCTACACTGTAACTCTAAAGAGAGACAAACTTAAAGGGAGTGCCCTCTAACCTGAGGAATCATGTCTTTGATTGTGAGGAGGAAGATGCCTCTGGAGGGGCCAACTCCGTGGTGTTCCAGGCAGCGCCTGAACAGAGGAAGCCCGTGTCCAATGTCCTTCCATTCCGTTCACACCCCAGGTCCCTGAAATATACTTGCCACTCATCTTCTCAGCTTCATTTAAATGAAAATGAATCAGACTATGAAAATGATAACAAACCGGACACACAGCTTATTTCTAACAAAGATGAAGAAAATTTTTGTAATGATACAGAAACTGAAAAATTAAGGAACCTAGTTAGCTATGATTAAAATGAAAGAAGATTAAGAGTTTGACATGCAAATGGTAATAACTATAAACCAAAATACCACTAATTGGAAATTAGACATTAGGCATTGGCCTCAGTCTCAAAATCTAAAGTGTCGTTTTGATTTGTGGTTTACAAATCAGGAAGCATATGATTTACATAGAAAGCCACTGTATTTCTGCTGTTACGGACTCCTTCAAAAACAGAAAGCCAATACAGTGCTTGTTCCAGAAGCCGTTATTTGACAATCCCAGTGCTAGCAACTACAAAAGCAGGAATCTGGAATTAGAAAATGTGAGTTATTCTCTGCCTCATAGTGAGAGAACATCACAAGTATAACTAGAAGACTTCCAGCAAGATATTCCAAGGTTTAAGAATGAGGTGGGCATGTTACAGGTAGAGTTCCTGGCTTTGGAGAAAGAGGAAGTTCAATTCCAAAAAGACAGGTTCACTTGCTGCTTCTCTTTTTCTCTTTATCATTTATCTGATTCAGTCTAATTTTCTACTCAAGAAAATCTAATGTGTACAGTGACAGTGGGGTCATCTAAATGTATAATTATGTGTCAAAGTAGAGTCGAACTGCTGTCTAAATGATGGTTCTGGAAAATGTTCTCATAATCTTTGTTCATTAATCAACCTAAGTCTCATTATCCATCTTCCAAGTGGCATATGGGCTGGGAAACTAATTCAGCCATATACCATGTGACTTTCTGAATTAGATAAGCATGAAAAAAATCACTAAAGGAATAAGCTCTAGATTCTTTTTTCTGTATTCATTTAGAAATGAATTGCATTTATTTAAATGATAGGATGGGAATACAATGGGAGGGAAGCAATGACTGAGAAGAGCCGCAAAAACACATCCAGCCTTGAGAGTTGCAATGAATACTCCCAGGCAGAGGATTCTGTTAAATGTGTTTCCATGCATGCAAGTTTATCTGCTTACTTAACTCAAACTGTTTGAACTGATAGGTCCATCATGGCCGTTTCAAATATTTTGGAAAACAAATATATACTTCCACATATTTTTAAAACTCACCAACTCTCCAATATTTCTATTGAATCAGACCTTTACATGATGTTGTTTAATAAAGTATGGCAAGTTTAGACACGATGAATTTTATCATATAAGAAACATAACTTCTCAGCCAAAAATTTAGCATTTGACTCTTCAGTAAAGAGTTAAGTTCTACGCATTGTGTTCTAAGATAGACAAAAATCTAGGGATTTTCTTCTTTCAAAGTAAAAGCAGATGAGACGTTTTTTCCACCCTCTGAGGCATTAGATTGCTTTGCGCAAGTTACACTTTTAATATAGCTAACTAATTTGATAAATTTACCTGGTAATTTATGTCATTCAGCAATGTAGAATTGTATCTTGTTATTTGGTGCCGTGAAATGCTAGGGAATACCACCTTAGGAGATTTGGATGAAAATTTAATATGACTTGGTTGGTTTGACTCCCATTGTCAGAAGATAACTGTATCATGTCCTTTCCACCCATAAGCTTTTGTGATAATGGAATGTGAAATCTGGGAGCATCTCATTTTCCAGAATTGTGCACTAGCAACTCAGCAGTTTCACTCTGGTTTCTGTGTTGTGGAGAACTTTCGTTCTTATAGTTCAGGGAGTACCATTGCTTTTTAATATCCTGGGATTCAAATATTTAAAACAATAAATAAAAGGCAATGGCTAAAAGAATAGCTTAGTGCAGAAAAGGGAAAGCTTCTTTTATGTTCCTGAAGCCCCCAAGGTCACATCCTTTCAATCTGGCTATTTCATGTAAAATCCAGGTGGTAAAGACAGAAGACATATCTTATATCTGTGCCATTTTATTTCTCTGTTTCTACCAGTCAGATAGCATAAAAATTCATACCGGATAGCAAAGAGTGGATGGGAATAAAAGCACAAAATGGAGGAGAACGCTTCTGAAATTTTGGAAACTTCTTTTATTCATTTAGAAAGAAATGAGCAGACTTTACAAAAATTTCAGTGATGGAGTGATAAGAATATCTTATAAGTATGTGATAATAATTATGTATAATGATAAAGTAAGCACAAAATATTTTTATTATTTAAATGGTGACAGTTAACCGGAATCAAGTGATAATATCAGGGAAAGAATTCTTTTTATTGAATAAAATAATTATTATTCATATTACTTTTATTAAAGGTCGAAGAAGGAAAGAATACAAACAAAAGTGAAGAGATACAACTGTCAGAAAATACATGGGACAGTACATCTTCTGATGCCACTGTTGAATTAACCCAACAAACAAAGATCAGGAAAACGAGTCCTCAGCAATTTCCCAAGGACGTGAAGGAAGAGCATGATAGGTAAGTGTATGGCAGTTGTTTTGTTTCATTTTTTGTTTGTTTGTTTGAGATAGAGTTTTTCTCTTGCTGCCCAAGCTGCCATGCAATGGCATAATATTGGCTCACTGCAACCTCCACCTCCTGGGTTCAAGTGATTCTCCCGCCTCAGCCCCCCAAGTAGCTATGATTACAGGGGTGCGCCTCTATGCCCAGCTAATTTTTTGTATTTTTATTAGAAATGGGGTTTCACCATGTTAGCCAGGCTGGTCTCAAACTCCTGACCTCAGGTGATCTGCCCACTTTGGCCTCCCAAAGTACTGGGATTACAGGCATGAGCCACCACATCCACCTATAGCAGTATTTAACAGGAAATAATTGTCTTTGTACTATAAACTAATCCTAAATTTGACTAATATCATTATGATTAACAAATTTTATACTTTTACCAGGGTAATCAGAGAAATGCAAATTAACATAAAATAAGATATATTTTTTAAAGTCACAATTTTTAAAAAGGAATTACTAGTGTTGGCAAATGCGAAGAAAAAGGCATTCTTATACAGTGTATGTATATGAAATTGGTAAATTGTTTCTGAAGGGTAACTTAGTGCTGTGTATCAGAATTTCAAATAATCTGACATCCCTTTAATGTGACAGCTTCAATTCTGGGACTAGATTGTACAGGAAAATATAACTTATGTAAACATACACACACACACTTATTAAGGACGTTAATTATATGTTATACATAATGAACAATAGGCCAATAAAATATGTTACATGATAAGACTATATACCTATGTTAAGAATATTTATAGAAATATGTTGCATATATACATGTGTATGTTAAGTATATTTATTATAGCATTGTCATAACCCGTCAATAAGGAAATAAATCGGCATATCTATAAAATAGTGTAATGCGCAGCCATTGAAAAATGAGGTCATTTCTATACTGCACTGACTATTTCACAATTAAAATACATTCCAACTATTTAGTTTGATGACACATCTTAACCACCTTTTAAAAGAATTCTTATAATACCTGCTGAGTTGCAAAAGCAAGCTACATGCGACATTGGCCCTTAACAAAATGCTAGTTTTAAAGTTTTTGTTTTAGGTTCTCAGTGAATGACTGTTTAAATATTAAGCCCTCAAACTTAATCTGAATATTGCCAAGGGACTGCACATGGGGATCCACATTCCATATGAACATCTCAGCATATGGGGTAAAGCTTCTGAAAATGCATCAGAGGATCTTTGATCTAAACCAAGAGCTGAACAACTTTTTCTGTTAAGATTCAAAATAAATATTTTAAGCTTTGTGTACTATAAAATCTTTTGTGATACTCCAAAATCTGTCATAGACAATATGTGAATGGCATAGATGTGTTTTAATTGAAACTTTACTTAGAAAAACCAGCAGGGGGCTAGATGTGACCCACAAGCGCTAAGGTGATGATGTCTGCTCTAAAACCAAGGTGCTGCTAATGCAGTGGATCTTTTCTTTAAAGGTACACTTCATGCTTACTGTTATCCTTCCTTTCAAAAGACAAGCTATTTCAGTATACACCACACTACATTTGTCAGCAGTGACTTCATTTCATATAAATTACAAACGTTGAGTTTAAAGAGTAATATTATTTTCCGCATTTCACCCCTTTTTCTTTTTTTTTTTTTTTTTGAGATGGAGTCTCACTCTGTTCCCCAGGCTGGAGTGCAGTGGTGTGATCTCGGCTCACTGCAACCTCCACCTCCCTACTTCAAGCAATTCTCCAGCTTCTGCCTCCCAAGTAGCTGGAATTACAGGCGCATGCCACCACGCTTGGCTAATTTTTTTGTATTTTTAGTAGAGGGGGTTTTACCATGTTGGCCAAACTGATCTCAAACTCCTGATAATCCTCCCACCTTGGCCTCCTAAAGTGCTTGGATTACAGGGTGAGCCACTGTGCCTGGCCCCTTTTACTTTTTTTTTTTAATATAGAATTCAATGTTTTAATAATTTTATACAACTCAATATATAGTTCAATGTTATAATATTTTAATAAGACTAATTACTTTGCATATTTGAGTATAAAATATTCTAGAGTCAGATGATTTTTATCAAGCAAGAAATATTGCCCTTGAAACTTTTAGTCTTTCTGTGGTCTTTATTTATAAGCATGAGCAAAATGATAATCAGCATATATTATGTAGAAATGTTCAACTGGTGTTTGGTGAATGCATTATTTAACACCTTGGTCTGGCCTTTTAAAAAAATGTCACATCTATGTAATTTAAACAATATTTAAAGTGTTGAAATATTCTATAAGGCATGAAAACTACAGTTAAATAAAAAGAAAAATAGTTCATCCTCGATCATACCACATAGGTAAGATACGATGAGAACACATGGACACAGGGAGGGGAGCACCACACACTGGGGTCTGTCGGGGGAAATGGGGGAGGGACAGTGGAGGGTGGGGAGTTGAGAAGAGATAGCATGGGGAGAAATGCCAGATATAGGTGATGGGGAGGAAGGCAGCAAATCACACTACCATGTGTGTACCTATGCAACAATCTTGCATGTTCTTCAAATGTACTCCCAAACCTAAAATGCAATAAAAAATAATAAAAGAAAAGAAAAAGAAAAAGCTGTGTGTACTCACAGACTCAGATTTTCTCTCCACTCACTGTTGAACTCTCCAGTAACTTCCACTCCCACCACTCCTCCAAAATTGCTCTTCTCCATGTTTCTATGGATTTTCACTTTGATAAATCTGGACATAATTTCCGAGACCTCATTTTATTTAACCCATCAGAAGTTCCTTCATATCACTTTCTTTGGCTTTCAGGAATGCACCCGATCACTTGGCTCTGTCACCTGCCTTTCTAGTCCGTCCGTCATAGTCTGTTTGTCTTGCTTCTCCTCATTCTACATCTTTCAACACTGATGTGTCCCAGGGCTCAGTCCTCGATCCACTTTCTCGTGACTTTTAACTACTTTGCATGTGCTAGTGATCCCTAAATGTGTATCTCTCCAGCCCAGCTCTCTCTCCTTAACTCCAGACCTAAATATCAAACTGCCTTCCTGACATCTGTCTTCGATTAGCTATTGGGTGTCACAAAGTTACCAGGCCTGAAATTGATCTACTGATGTCCTTCCTCATACCTACCCGGCATAGAGCCCTTCCTACCTGTGTCAATGGCAACTCGCCCGGTTGCTCTGCCAAAACCCTTGGTGTCATCCTTGTCTCATGCCTTTCTCTGACACCTCACGTCTCATCTGTCAGGAAGTCTTGTCAGGACTGCCTCCAACATATATCCAGAAGCGCCATATCTTCCGTGTCCCGCCAACCACCACCTGCTGTTGAGATGAGTGTAATAGACTGTTCATTGGTCTTATTTATTTATGTATTTGAATCCTCTTTCCACCAATTCTCTACTCAGTAGATGTATGGAAACCTGTCAGTTGTGCCATTCCTCTGCTCTAAACCTTCTAATTGCCTCCCATTTCACAGTAGATACTGATGTGTTTTCTAACACCTAAAAGGCACCGCATCATTTAGCCTCTTTATTCCTCTAACTTCAACTTTGATGTTTCTATTTCTTTTCTCTGCTCGAGCCGCACTGAACTTCTCACTGTTTCTCAAACACTCCTGGCTCCCTCTCTGCTTGGCAGTTCCTCTGTCTGGGGTGCTGTCCCCTCAGATGCCTCCTGGCTTGCAGTTTCATGCCTTAAGTTCTTCACTGAAAAGCCACTGTCTCAGCGAGTGGCAGAGAGACAGAATTCCGGCAGTTCTGGTACTTCCAGCAGCCTCCCCTTCAACACATCACAACTTTGTTTTCCTGCTTTAGTTTTTCTCATGAAATAGACTCTATATTTTGCCTCTCTCTTGTGTTTATCGTTACTGTGTGTTCACTCTCATAAGCAGGACTTTTGTCTGTTCAGTGCCATGTTCCCTGTCTAGAAAGGGGTCCAGCCTAAAATAAGACGCTACTAAGTGTTTATTAAAGCAGTGAATGAAGTTTAACCTTGGGGTGTTACTTTAAACATTAGACAAATTCTCATTTAAAAAAACCATTTGACATACGTTCATTCTGACAATTTTACCCCACAATTATATGCATATTTTAGATACTTTTGGCTCTTCCTAATAAGCTATATTCTTTATATTAGTGTTTTTCCATGGATGGAAAAACCCAATATTGTGCTTAGTGACTCTTTCTTCTTTTACTGGTAATTATGCTTGTTTTAATTACGGTAAGATGGTTAAAAGGAATGACAATTTTCATTTATATTTTATTAAGAAACCTAACATAAGGGTGATAAAATTAATGGATTTAAGGAATTCTTCTTAAAGGATTATGAGCCTTCAGTGTCTGAAATTAAAACACAAAGCGGATTGCTTTCTGTAGTAAGAGAGCTGTGCTGGTCAGGCACACTTCCTCCTGATGGAGCAGCTGCTGATCTTAGAGCTTTGGGAGGAGTGGAGCTGAAGGCTTGGTGGAATCTCACAGGCGTAAATTGGCCGACATCATCTGGAGCAGCATGGTTATGTGAGTGGGACCGTTGTGGTTTGGTTGGCACTCCCAGGCCTGCTGATTGGAGTGGAAATATCTCTGATTGGCTTTCTTGTGCAAGCAGGTGACTGACATTGATTAGTTGGTGAGTGAGGCCAGTGGTCATTGCTTGACTGACTTGATTTGAAATAGGTTCTGTGGGGCTGCTAGTTGCCAGGGCTACAGATCAGTCCTTTCCTAGGTTTCAGGCCACTTTAACCAGATGTTTTCTTTTGCAAGCTGCCTTTCATCAACTGTGTTTAAGATGAAAACTATTTTATTTTCCAGAATTGTAGAACTTTTTTTTTTTTTTTTTTTTTTTTTTTGAGATGGAGTTTCGATCTTGTTACCCAGGCTGGAGTGCAATGGTGTGATCTTGGCTCACCACAACCTCCGCCTCCTGGGTTCAAGCAATTCTCCTGCCTCAGCCTCCCGAGTAGCTGGGACTACAGGCATGCACCATGCCCAGCTAATTTTTGTATTTTTAGTAGATGCAAGGTTTCACCATGTTGACCAGGATGGTCTAGATCTCTTGACCTTGTGATTCACCCACCTCGGCCTCCCAAAGTGCTGGGATTACAGGTGTGAGCCACCATGCCTGGCCTGTAGAACTATTTTTTAAAGTTTGGGTCAAAAGGAATTTTGCTCTTGGGAAGATCTTTCTTGTTTTAGATGCTTGGTCTTAACCAAATGATAAATCTCTATAATTTTTCTTGTAAATAATCCTTAGCTTTGTTTTAGTTTTTTTCTCCTTTTTTTGTATTCTTAGGGGCTCATACTCAACTCCTAACATAATAACATCAGTAAATTTTAGTATCTTTGTACATTTATATAGGTATGTAATAGTGATATTGTTATGTGTAGCAGTAACACCATAAACTGAGATGTTCTCCAGGTCTTCATTGTGCCAGAATTCTGCTTAGCTCTCTTTCCTCAGTACCTATATGGGGGGTTACCCACATTATGAACATGTTTAAGCCATAAAAAGTAATTAAAACTACTAATAAATCTAGCTTGTTAAATTAGAATTAGATACCAGCTTATATACATGAAACGTAAATGTATTTTATGTGTAGAGCAGGGTCCCACATACAAGATATCTCATTATATACAGGCAAATAATCCAAAATTGAAAAAAAAATTCAAAATTTGAAATACTTGTGGGCCTAAGAATTTAGGATAAGGAATACTTGAGCTGTATCAGTATCACATTGTTTTGATTACTATAGATTTACAGTAATAGATATTGTATTCTATTTACTATTTCTTAATTAGCTATGTTTTTCACAAAGGTGTTTTCCCAATTACTATAGGTTTATAGTAATCAAACCACATTATTTTAGGGTTTTATGAGCTATGATAACCCCAGTGCACTCCAGCCTGAGAGACAGAGACCTCATCATTAAAGAAAAAAACTCTATATTAATTTACAGTTTAGCCCACACAGTATGCAATGGTCATTTTTCTCAACCCAGAATACTTTTTAAAAACTTTTTTTTTTCTTTTTTCAGTTTTTCTTTCTTCTTTTTATTGCATTTTAGGGTTGGGGGTACATGTGAAGAACATGCAAGATTGTTGCATAGGTACACACATGGCAGTGTGATTTGCTGCTTTCCTCCACATCACCTATATCTGGTATTTCTCCCCATGTTATCCCTCCCCAAATCCCCACCCCCCACTGTCCCTCCCCTATTTCCCCCCGACAGACCCCAGTGTGTAGTGCTCCCCTCCCTGTGTCCATGTGTTCTCATTGTTCAACACCCACCTATGAGTGTGAACATGCGGTGTTTGATTTTCTGTTCTTGTGTCTGTTTGCTGAGAATGATGGTTTCCAGGTTCATCCATGTCCCTACAAAGGACACGAACTCATCGTTTTTTATGGCTGCATAGTATTCCATGGTGTATATGTGCCACATTTTCCCTGTCCAGTCTATGATTGATGGGCATTTGGGTTGGTTCCAAGTCTTTGCTATTGTAAATAGTGCCACAGTGAACATTCGTGTGCATGTGTCCTTATAATAGAACGATTTATAATCCTTTGGATATATACCCAGTAATGGGATTGCTGGGTCAAATGGAATTTCTATTTCTAGGTCCTTGAGGAATTGCCACACTGTCTTCCACAATGGCTGAACTAATTTACACTCCCACCAACAGTGTAAAAGTGTTCCTATTTCTCCACATCCTCTCCAGCATCTATTGTCTCTCAATTTTTTAATGATCACCGTTCTAACTGGTGTGAGATGGTATCTCAATGTAGTTTTGATTTGCATTTCTCTAATGACCAGCGATGATGAGCATTTTTTCATATGTTTGTTGGCCTCATGTATGTCTTCTTTTGTAAAATGTCTGTTCATATCCTTTGCCCACTTTTGAATGGGCTTTTTTTTTTTCTTATAAATCTGTTTTAGGTCTCTGTAGATTCTAATATTAGCCCTTTGTCAGATGGGTAGATTGCAAAATTTTTTCCCCATTCTGTTGGTTGCCAATTCACTCTAATGACTGTTTCTTTTGCTGTGCAGAAGCTGTGGAGTTTGATTAGGTCCCATTTGTCTATTTTGGCTTTTGTTGCCAACGCTTTTGATGTTTTGGTCATGAAGTCCTTGCCTAGGCCTATGTCCTGAATGGTTTTGCCTAGATTTTCTTCTAGGGTTTTTATGGTGTTAGGTCTGATGTTTAAGTCTTTAATCCATCTGGAGTTAATTTTAGTGTAAGGTGTCAGGAAGGGGTCCAGTTTCTGCTTTCTGCACATGGCTAGCCAGTTTTCCCAACACCATTTATTAAATAGGGAATCCTTTCCCCATTGCTTGTTTTTGTCAGGTTTGTCAAAGATCAGATGGCTGTAGATATGTCGTGTTGCCTCTGAGGCCTTTGTTCTGTTCCATTGGTCTATATCTCTGTTTTGGTACCAGTACTATGCTGTCAATACTTTTGAAAAACTTTATTCAGCTTTATTCTTAATATGCATCTAACAAAAAGTGAATTGAAAATTGATTATTAGTTTATTCAACATCTCTCCTACATAGGTATAATTCCAAGTTCTCTGTTAAAAACATATGTTTTTCTTTGTTGTTTAAATATATGATCCTGTCTTGTTCCACAAAATATTTAAAAATTGTTTATAAGATATAAAATAACAAGGTGAATTGAAAGTGTTACTCCAGAAAGAAATAGGAAAAGTGTGGGGTAACAGATGTTAGCCTCATTAGCCTAGTCTTGGATTATAGTAATCTGCAGATATATTTGTGTGAAAGACATCTGAAGGTGCCATCTTACATCTTACACTGTGAATCATTTTGGGGGATACATGCAATATTTCATTAAGATGAAAATTTCTTTCTTTTTTTTTTTTTTTTTTGAGACAGAGTTTTCGCTCTTGTTACCCAGGCTGGAGTGCAATGGCGCAATCTCGGCTCACCGCAACCTCCACCTCCTGAGTTCAGGCAATTCTCCTCCCTCAGCCTCCTGAGTAGCTGAGATTACAGGCACGCGCCACCACGCCCAGCTACTTTTTTGTATTTTTAGTAGAGACGGGGTTTCACCATGTTGACCAGGATGGTCTCGATCTCTCGACCTCGTGATCCACCCGCCTCGGCCTCCCAAAGTGCTGGGATTACAGGCTTGAGCCACCGCACCCGGCTGAAAATTTATTTCTATTGAACTTACACACTTGTCAATAAATAGTAACTTAAAAATTGTTAATTGTAAATGATCTTTTTTAATTGGGGAGTAATTATGACTGTGTGATTTAAAAAGGTAATTTTCAACTTGTAACTTTACTGAATAATCTCCAGTATCCTTTTTCATAAAATATACTAGAGTGACTAGTAACAGAAACTTTAGCAGAATATTCTTTCCTTACTACTTTTCAAGTATATGCATTCTTTTGAAGATGTTGAAGTGAGAAATTAAATATCTGAGAACTACAGAGGAAAAATATTCCAGAACACGGAAATTTTATTAGGATAATAAGCAACATATGCAGAGGAAGATGACAAGATGAAACTTTTTATTTTCTAACAAAATGAATTTTAAGATAAGTGCCTTTATTTGCAGATGCACCTTAAAACAAGAAAATGAAGAGAAAAGTAACGTTAATATGCTCTACAAAAATCTAACAGAAGGGTTAGAAAGGAAATGGGAACAGTATGAGAAAGAAGTTAAACAACAACTTAAACTGACTGTTCGGTCATTAGAGATGGAACCGAAGACCTTAAGAAATATTCCAAATCAGGTAAATCCATCTTTGATAAAAATTCTATATCTTCAACTTTATTATATCAATATTACTTATAATATCCACTTGATGTAATACATCTTATTTAGATCTAAAACAGACCAGAAATGTTATTTCATTTTTTAAAATGATTGATGATGCTTATAGGTACAATTATTAATATTTATTATATGTCTTGGCATCCAAGTATATTATTTTATTACAAAGAGCTTTTGAAAACAATAATATGCCATAATATATACTTAGTGATAACTTATTGATAAAAGTTTTGTTCCCAGTAAAATAGTTCCTTGTACTTTCCCCTATTTGGTATTGATTACTGTTTCTAATATTATAAAGAGGAAATAGAAATTATGGCAATCACAAATAATCTGATTATATTCTATGAAGAGCTCTATAAATTTTATCTTATTTACTATTGGTGTTTTGAAATAAAAGGCTCCTTTCATACTGATGTATTTACACCACAGAAGTAACTGTGATCTGGTGGAGAACTAGAAGCAGAGTCAGAAGCCCTGGGGAAAATCCTGTGGCTCGCTTATATTTTTAACCTTTCTTTTTCAAAATTGTGGTAACTAAATGAGTTCATCAGTAAATGTGTAAAGGAGTGACTAGTACAATGTCTAGATTTATGATTTTGTAAATATAATTCTTATCACTGACTATAAAAATGTTAAAAGAGTCAAATTGCAATAGAATATTATTAGGAAAACAGAACTTTAATAACTTTGGAAAATTTTATCTGTCCAAATACGTGCAAATTGAGGCTCTTACTATAGGGTGGTGTATGGGTTAGAGGTCAGAATGTACATGCAATTTTCTTTTTGTTATATTTTAATTTAGTCAAATTTGTTAATGTTTTAATTTATGCTTTTAGGTTTGTTGTAATTCAGCTAAAGGTTTTTCCAATTCTGATATTCTCAAAAATTCTTTCTCTTTCTCTCTCTCTCTCTCTCTCTCTCTCTCTCTCTCTCTGTGTGTATGTGTGTGTGTGTGTGTGTGTGTGTGTGTGTGTGTGTGTGTTTACTTTTATGAATTCATTGACTTCAAATAAAGTTTTGAACTTTTTGGAATTTATGCTCTATAAGGTTCAAAGTTTTGCTTTAACTTTTTCTCCAGTTGGAGATCCACTTACAGTAATCTTTTTAGTGCATGGGTGTGCCGGTTGTTCTTTAACTTCAGAGGTAATCATGAAATGTTGTCTTATTGAGTACTAGCTAAAACTTTCTTTTGTTTTATTTAGGATTTTCATAATCATGAAGAAATGAAAGATCTAATGCATGAAAATGGCATTTTGAAGAGAGACATTGCTATGCTTAGAGAGGAAATATGCACATTAAAAAATGACAGCCTCGAAAAAGAAAATAAATATTTTAAGGATTTTGAAATTATTGAAGAAATAAATACTGGTTTTGAAAACAGAAACAAACTCAGTGAGGAAATGATAACAAAAATAGTATCCCAGTGTCTACAACAGCTTAATGATCTCCGAGCTGAGAATACAAGGCTCAATTCTGAACTGGGGAAGGAAAGAGAAGATGAAGAAAGACTGGAAGCTGAAATTGAATCATATCAGTCTAGACTGGCTGCTGCTATAAGAGAACACAATCAAAGGGTGAAAACAGAAAGAGACCTCAAACTTTCTCTACAGAGAACACAAGATATTTCTTTACAGAGAAACACGAATTCTGAGCTAAAAGATAAGTATGAGTTTCTTAAAGAAAAACTTTCTAAAACACAAATTAAATTCAATACCTTAAAAGATAAGGTCTGTAAGACAAGTGATACTCTCAGAGAAAAGACATTGGCTTTAGAAACTGCACAAAACGACTTAAGCCAAACACAGCAGCAAATAAAGGAAATGAAAGAGATGTATCAAAATGCAGATGCTAAAGTGAGTAAATCCACTGGAGAGTGGAACTATGTAGAAGAGAGACTATGTGAACTACAACGTAAAAATCTGTGGCTTAAACAGCAACTAGATGATGCTTATCAGAAAGGGGATAATGAAGAGAGAGTAATTAATATCCAAGGAGGATTTATTGAGAGTGGAAAGAAAGGTCTTCTTCTAGAAGAGAAAAATAAGAAGTTAATGAACGAATGTAATCATTTAAAAGAACGTCTGTTTCAACATGAGAAAGAGAAAGCAGAAGTAAGTATCAAGGAAGATAAATATTTTCAAACTTTTGGAAAGAACATTTAAACATTTGGTTCTGAATACATGTTGAACCTGGTTGAATAAAAAGAATAGATAATAAATATGTTTACCATACTGTATAATTGCATTTACATGAAACATGCAGAAAAGATAGATATACAGAGACAGAAAGTAGATGAATGTTTGCGTAGGGCTGGGGCTGGAAGCTAGTAGTGACTGCTAATGGGTGTGAGGGGTCTTTCAGTGGTGAAAAGCTTCTGAAGCCGGATTGTAGAGCTAGCTGCACAACTCGGTCAATTTACTAAAAACCTTCTAACTTTTATGTTGAAACAGATATATTCTATAGTAGGTAAATTACATTTTGACAAATCTGTTTTAATTTTTAAAAAAAGGAAAAATGTGTTTACAATATCAGCTTAGAAATCTACCTTGTTTCCAGAAAGTAAAAGGTGGAGCTGAGGAACTATTTACTTTGAGTACAGACATTTATACCGCCTATGAAATTTTAATAGGCACAAAGTCATATTTTAAGGTAGATAGTCCTATCCTGCTGGAATAATAATTTTAATGTCTTTATATTGCCACATGTTAAGACCATGATGAAGCAAATGCATTCGAATTAAGGTTTAATTGAGTGATTTGCTTTCACACATAATTCTAGATTTCCCAGATGAACTAAAGTGTATTACTTTGTCTTGTAATACTTTTCTGTAAGTATCTTTTTATATATTTTATCTTGTATAGTTTTGTTTTTATTTTATTAAAATATAATAAAATTATATTATATTTTTATTTATATTAATTTGACTTAAATCTGAAAATATATCAGTCTCAAATTATGTATTTTTATGACTATGTTTACATGGCCATAAAAATACATTTTAAAGGAAACTACTTGTCATAAAATCATAATTTAGGACAAATATGTTAAATTTTAGCAAAACCATATCTGATTTAGTCTTCCCACTGGTATTTATAATTTACTTTGACTATTTGTATTAATAATTGCCTCATAATTTTTATTTTAAGGCTCAATGACTACCATTTGAATATAATTTTGTCCAGTACAGAAATACTTGTAGCTGCCTGTGATTTATGAATTGGGCATTAGATCCTCATTTTCAGACTAATGAGGGGTGGCAGGCTTTACACACAATGGGAATGAAGTGAGTACAGGAGGGAGTTTTAGGAGCTTGAGGTCAGAGAGGAAGGTAGAGGCCTGTTTACCTAGAGCCTCAAAGGCCATTGGAATTTTACTTTTATTCTGGGGTAGAAATCTGTTGGAAGGATTTGAACAAGTGATGGAATATGTTAGGAATCTCAGGTTGAGGTGAGCTTCTAAGATGATTGAATAGTGGGATGAATCTGTTGTGTAAGTAAGAGAATACCAGTTTGGCAGGAAGACAACACATTCTGCGTCCCTTACTGAATTCAGCAACAAATAAAAATGTGCATATATGATGAAAAGGTGAATCGATGTGTGTGGTGATAATTTTCAAAGTATGTATGTTAAGTATTATTGACATAATTTAATAATAATTATTATAAAATCAGTAACAAAACTATTTTTTCAGGTGGTTGTGACACAACTTCAACAATTGGCTGATACCCTAAAAAAAAAAAGTATGTCAGAGTCACCACTAGAAGATACATCACGTTGTCACATTAATTTGGATGAGACACAGGCCTCAAAGAAGAAATTATTTCAAGTCGAAAGTCAAGTATGTATGGAATTTAACATGTTGGCAGTTACTCCGCAGCTGGTTGAATTCTATAACATGTTTTAGGATACTAATTTTGATGGATGCTTAATCTTCACAACATTCCAGTGAAGTAGATGGTAAAGAACCAGAGACACAGAAAGTTAATTTGCTCAAGGTCACACAGCTTGTACCTGGTGGAGCTGGGATTCAGACCCAGGCCATCTGGCTTCTGTGTAGATATTGCCTCTCAAATCATTCCATGAAATACCTGGTTGGGTGAGGTGGCTCATGCCTGTTATTCTAGCATTTTGGAAGCCTGAGGCAGGAGAATCACTTGAGACCAGCCACAGCAATAAAGTGAGACCCTCTCTAAAAAAAAAAAAAAAAAAAAAAAGTTTAAAACAATTGGCTGAGGCATGGTGGTGCATGCCTGTAGTTTCAGCTACCTGGGAGGCTGTGGTAGGAAGATCACTTAAGCTTGGGAGATCAAGGCTGCAGTGAGCAGTGATTCAGCCTGGGTGACAGAGTGAAACTGTCTCACAAAATAAACAATTTTGTATAGATTCCTGTAGAAATGACTTAGAAATCAGGCATAGAATTATTAGCCACTTTGATGTCACTTTGGGTAGAAAAAATTTAATAAGGGGCAGTTTTCAACCATCTCAATTAATAGCCTCTAACTTCTCCAGAAAGTTCTTATTTCATAAATTCCTAAGCCAGAGACTACTTGGATTAAGATATTTAGTGGACACAATTTTGAAATGAAGAATCACAGTTGGGCTGAAGGGACATCTCTACTTGACTGGAGCTTCCCAATGATATATAGTGGAGTGTTCCCTGAAAGAAACTTTAGAACAAGATTTTCATCATGCCATATCTCTATGGAAAAGGAAATTCTTAAAAAAGAAAAACAAAACAGGCAAACAATGAATAATTTGATTCTTATGGGAAAGTTGTGCATTATAAAGGAAAAAGGACAATATATGCTGGTTAATATCATAAGGGTGAGGCTGTCCTTCTCAAGATTAGAAAATATAACACTACACTCAAAGTAACATCAGTGTATGAGCATGTGGCTGAGAATATTTTCTTTTTTTTTTTAATTTTACTTTAAGTTCTGGGATACACGTGCAGAATGTGCAGGTTTGTTGCATAGGTACACATGTGCCATGGTGTTTTGCTGCACCCATCAAGCCATCCTCTAGATTTTAAGCCCTGCATGCATTAGGTATTTGTCCTAATGCTCTCCTTCCCCTTGCCCTCACCCCCTCAACAGGCCCCAGTGTGTGATGTTCCCCCTGTTCAACTCCCACTTATGAGTGAGAACATGGAGTGCTTTATTTTCTTTTCCTGTGTCAGTTTGCTGAGAATGATGGCTTCCAGCTTCATCCATGTCCCTGCAAAGGACATGAACTCATCCTTCTTTATGGCTGCATAGTATTACATGGTGTATATGTGCCACATTTTCTACATCCAGTCTATCATTGATAGGCATTTGGGTTGGTTCAGTCTTTGCTATTGTAAATAGTGCTGCAATAAACATTCATGTGCATGTGTCTTTATAGTAGAATGATTTATAATCCTTAGAGTATATACTCAGTAATGGGATTGCTGGGTCAAATGGTATTTCTAGTTCTAGATCCTTGAGGAATATTTTCTATGAGAAGTGTACTAACAGGAAGAGGCCTCAGTAAAAGGGACAGAGCTGGAAATGTAGATTCGGGAATCTGGGCGGGAGTTTTGAGATTTAAGGAGCTCTGGGATAATTTTAAAAGAGCAACAGAAAGGGATAGGACTAAACATCAGAGGTTGCTGCATTCAGAGATGGGAGGCTTTGGTCACTGCTCGCAGTTGCTGCCAAGTAAAGCAAGATAAAGTCCTTGATGTCCAACAGACTTTCTAAAATAAGACAGTAAGTGATGAGAAATAGATTTCTGAATGACAGTATGGGTTATAAAGTTCAATGGAAGGGGAGAAACAGGACAATAGAAAAGCCTCAAAAGTTAGACAGAAGTTGTTTTTGTTTGTTATAGAGGAGAGTTAAACTTTATTTAAAGAGAAATGGTTAAGAGAAAAGGAAAAACTGAAACCATGGGTGAATATTTACAGAAAAAGAGAGTATTTAGCTCATCCTGAAAACAGATGAGGATAAAAAATGTAACAGGAACCATATGAGAGTTTTCTTAAAATTGCCTTAGTAAGATGTAATTTAGCACAACTTGGAATATGTTGACGCATTGATGACAATGTTTCTAGGGCATCTTTGAAAACTAACATGCAAATATAACTACTCTTAATTTTTTTCTACCACCGCTTAGTTTTTTATGTGCGAAACCCTCTGTTTTTAACAAAATTATTTGCAGTTTAAATTTCAGAAAAGTTAATAACAAAAGTATGAATTGTATTTGGCTGTTTTAAGAAAAGTGATTGTGATTAAAGTCTGTCCTTATTGGCATCAGGTTTATAAAATGCACTTTACACATCTGCCTAAATACATGTTATTCATAAACTTATAAGAAATGTTTTTAAGATAGAAGAATGTGTCTCTATATTTTTAAAAATACATTTTTAAACTATTTTTTTCAAGCCTGAGGAAGAAAAGAAAGAATTAAGAAAACATTCTGAGTATAATATGGATCAAATAAGAAAGAAAAATGATGAATTAGAAAAAGAGAGAACTGGGTATGATTTTAATATTGTAGAACATTTTAACCATACATCAATTGATTTAACCATACTTTTACTTCATTAAAACCTAGATACAAATTCATTTTACGTCTGCATTTTCATAATTAAATTCTATTTTAACATTTATTTTAGAAACATAATGCAACTTGATATTTTTGAATACCAAAATATTATACTTATTCTTTAATGATTTTGAAAACAATAATGATGAAGCCTTATACATATAATGTCAACTGCACCTTTGTCTTCTTGTGTGAAGTTTTGTTTTTGAAGGTATTTTTGCTGTCTTTGGTAATTTTTCCTTCCTTTGGTAGTATCCTTCTCTGCTGCATTCAAATTCTTCGAAGAAGACCTATTTGTGTCATTCTTTAACATCAACATTTATTTTGATATTTTCCTTGTATTTTCTTTCTGTTTCTTTCTTTAAGATAGAAAACCTGTCATAGAAATTTACTCATTTTTCATGGGTACGTCCCTTATATACATGAGGTATACATGTTATTAAACTTGTTTCACATAAATGTTATATATACAAAAACATATGTATAACTTAAAAGCAAAATGAGCAATCATGTTTTTATCACAGATTTCTTAAAACAGAATGAGTCTTTGAAGTCACTAACACAGCTACTTTTCTATACATTTGCTGAGTAC